TGCACCTTCAAAGTCAGCATCATGGAAGTTCTTGGGATTCATGGTTCCTCCCCGTGAAATTGAAGAAGCCTAGAAAAAAATCAAGGCAGTGAAAGTCATAGTGCCTCCAATAAACATCAAGGAGGTGCAACGCCTGAACAGACATATAGCCGCCCCATCTCGCTTCTGGGGATAGTTCTCTACAATTCTTCAAGATATTGAGAGGTGCTAAGAATGCTAGTTTTCAGTGGACGAATGACTATCAAACTGCTTTCGAGCAACTTAAGGCAGATTTGGCTTTGTTGTCCCTCCTCTTAGAGCCTATCTAGGGAGAGATGTTCTATATTTATCTGGTTTTTTCACCTTAAGTAATAAAGCTCTGCCCTAGCCAAGGTCGACAACTCTGTCAAAATGCCAATATATAGTGTCAGCAAGATTCTCTCCAACAAAATCGTTGTCTGTTGACTGCAAAGAGTGCACTTGCCTTAGTATTTCGAGCAAGGAGACTTCGTCCGTACTTTCAGGCTCACACAATCGACATCTGCACATAACTCCCTTTGAAGGCTATCCTGGAAAAACCAGAAACATCAAGACTATTAGTTAAATGGTCAGTAGATTTGAGAGAATTAGACATTTGTTATCTACCACAACAAAACATCAAATCACTAGTGTTGGTTTATTTTGTGATAGAATGTACAGTGTCTGTTTCTGATGAGCCAACTTTTTCTCCTCTACCGTCATCTCAATAGAAACTATACATGGACGGAGCATTCAGAACTCTAGAGCTAGACTGGAATACTACTCATCTCCTTAAAGTTCTCCTCAAAGCAAGACACCTTGGAGTACGGGCTTCACTTAAAATTTCTAGCAACTAATAATATTATCGAGTATGAAGCACTTGTCGCCAGATTAAAACTCTTCGTCGACTGTGAAGTATAAAATATGATTATCTACACTGATTCTTAGCTCGTCTCATCCTAAATAGAAGGAGAATTTGAAGTTAATAACTTACAACCGATGCAGTATCCCAATCTCGTGAAAATACTTCCCGTCTAAATTGAAACATAAAAGCTCATTCACATACTTGAGGAGTAAAACACCTCACACGCCCTCCTCCCAGCCCAAAAAAAAAAAAGCCCGAGTCCCACAAGCCCCCATTTTCGCGATGCCCTAGCAGACACCGTGCGAACCTCGTCTTCGGCCTCGTCGTCGACCCTCCCTCAACACCGGACAACGTTGCAGCTCGACGTCAGCCTCCTTTCTTCTTCGCGAAACATCCAGCATGTCCTCCCTCCTCTTATGCCGACGCTCCATCTCTCCCGCCGGCGAGCTCTTCTTATGCCGCCTACACCCCGTCGAAACTCCGCAGCAGAGAAGCCCCCTCCTCCTTCACGTGAGACTTGGGGCACGCCGCACCTTGCCTCTGTGGTTGTGGTTCGCCCTTCACTTGCAGTCGGCGATTCGAGCCACCGGCGGCCTTGCCTTCTCTAAAGTTGAAGGATTTATATCTAATGCTCCTACATTTTACAAATACATTTCTCTTGATTGGAATGTTTTCTTGATTGACATACTATTAGTCAGCCATTGAAGTATTTGAGGATATTAGGAATCATTTTTCGTAGACATTAAAAGATGGTTAATTTTGAATAAAATGAAACTAGTGATAAGGAAAATGAGTGTCAAATATCAAAAATTGATTAAAGGCAAATATTGGCGGGCATTAAATGAAGCTAGCCTAAGGAAATCAAACGAAAGGTATTGGGCAATATTCTACTTGATCACTCTCTTTTTAAGAGGAGAGATCGATAGTCATAAAGGTAGGAATAGGACATCAGTAGTCAACCAACTTCACACAATGCTATGACAGGCATCGCTGTTAGTCAATTGTGAGCTATGGTGCTGGTTAATGTCGTGTGTTGATGTTGGCCAATGATAGGTATTGGTGAAGGTTTACATTAGCACTGAGTATTGATGAATAGTTCAAAATTTTAAGTCTAAGAATTCTCTCTAAAATATTCTCTTGGAATCCCTTTGAACGTTTGAAATCAAAGCATGTTGAAAGATTTTGAAATGGGCCATTTTTATCATTTTAATTGGTAATTAATAAATTAGATCAAATGAACTTAATTGACTCTCGTGATCATTTGATACTATAAACACCTTAGTGCCTTGATGAATTTACAATTAGCTAATTAAATTTATGCTATTGAAATGCTTGTTATGATTTTAAACATGTGACGTTTGAAAGTTGCTTGGTAAAGTTGCTTGGTACCACAAATAATATTGTGAAGTTTATAAATATGCTTCACAGTATTTGGTTTTGATCCATTTAAACTACGATCAAGGGGTTTGTTGTATCACGAGAACCCACCACACACAGATAGTATAAATGACAGATAGAAAACACTAAAAGATTTTACGTGAAAAACTCGTAATCACAGAGACTTGCCCAATTGGAATATTCAACAATGAGTTGGTGATTAACGATTTAGGCACTTGTTTCACATGCGAGCAATGGTTACAATCTCTCAAGTTACAATGTTGGTGTGCGGAGGGATTTGTGGCCCCACGATAGGTAGCGGTTGCAAAGAGAAGCAATATTTAGGGATTCAATGCACCGTCTTCAGGGTCAGCATGACGTCCGGGGAGATGCTTTGCTTCGTAAGTTGTTTCATCGAATGTTTTTTTTTTTTTTTTTGTAAGGAGTAGATAGTGGCCGACAACTGGTGATCATCGATGGCTGGTGGTGGTCGCTAGTTGTAGGAACAGGAGGCGTCGTAGGAAAATTTATGCAGAACTTCAACTCCTCCAAGCTTCAAACTACAGGTCCACTCTCATGAGGAGGGCGAGACTCTATTTATAAAGTCTAAATTGTAAATAAGAAATGAATCCTTACCATTCTTGATCGAATGACCCAGAGAAACCCCTTTGATCAAACGAAGTTCGATAAACATCTGAGTGTCTTAATGATGTCAAAATTAAGCTATATTGGGCTCATTAGATTTGTCTTCTCGAGACGCTCTATTTGACAATAAGCTTACTAGGTTCAGGATCTATTTGACCTTCCTAATATACCCTGAAAGCATCCAAAAATAATTTAATGGCTTGATCAAAGCTTGATTTGATTTAGATTGGATTAATTTTGGTATCGTCGGGCCCGTCTCGTTGAGCTGATCAATTTGACTATAAATTTCTTCAAATCAAAATTCTAGATGACTTTTAATCGAAATTTTAATATTTCTTGTTCGAAAGATCATCTCGAGATTTGTGTGATTCCTCGAGCTTTATGTCGGTTGATGGATTTGTTGATGACATATCAAGAATAATCTTGTTACATATAAACTCCAAACAAAGTCCCAAATAATATCAACTAAAATTACTCCGTTTCAAACCGCATGATATCAAAACTAATATTTCTAGCTTAGTGATCCAAATTTAGGAACACTTTGTACTAGCTAAAACATCTATAATCTCAAGTACTTCTCAAGAAAATTTTGCCACCCTAATTCATTTTTCATTATCTAATTTTTATGGACATTTACGTATATATCACACAATTATTATGTATTTCATATCTAATACCTAAACTTTCATATTTATATACATAACACTCAAAGTGTGAAAATCACATAAAAAATATTACCTATTCATTTATGTTTATGACACCAAAATATCGTAAGTGTAAATATCAAACTATAGATGTTTGATGTGCAAATAAACAAAAGTTGTGTGGCATCAATGTAATTTTTTTTCTAATTTTTAATCAAGCTAAGGAAATTTCCCCTCAAAACAAATGGCAGCGGAAGCGCGTCCCCTCCCATTAACACATCCACATTTCCCAAAGTTTGTTCAATACTAATTGCCAGATACTTTATTTTTATGTACTATTGTCTGTATATTGAATAAAACGGCATAAAATGACAAACACAGTCTAGGCGAAATAATCCGAACAAGCCAAATCAAACACATAGGTTTGATCAAGTAAGCATGCTTTAATGTACTATTTATCACTTGAAATATTGACCAAAAAAAAGGGCCAATCATGCATACCACACAATTCTTAGATATTGACATGTCTAACCCATAAACTTTATGATTTACATACATACCATTTAACTCCTTAACATCAAATAAAAAATATCACAATTACTAATTTTTTAAGGATATAATATAGATCTTCATGTATAGATTTACAGCACCAAAATATTATAAATATAAATATCGAACTACAACTATTTGGTATGCAAACATAAGAATTGTGTGGCATAAATAAATTATTCTAGCCCTCTGTCACCTCCCGCCCAGAACTTAAATACTACTTTTCGGTTTTACACCTAGCCGATGTGGGACTATTTGTCTGTGATATTCTCCTCCATCGAGGGTGCCACTGGACCATGGAGAGTCTACACACCTGACAGACAGTAATCTGCTCTGACACCACTTTTCACCTCCCAAAATAACCCTTAAGAGAAGTGGGTAGCCCAGGACTTGAATACTGATTTTCGGCCTTACATCTAGCCCACGTGGGATTATTTATCTGTGACATCTCGCTCAAATATAACGTACGAAATGCTTTTGCCTAACTTGAACTGTTCAGAAACAAACAAACGAACGAAGAGTATTATATTCATTAAGAAATAAATTTATACGACTGAATGGCGTAATCCTGAACATCCAAAACAAAAAGAAGGGCTGTGATGTGGTGAGAACTTACACGTTTATGAAGCCTAGGCAGCAGAGCAGATTGCGACCTTCGTTGCAACTCTTTTCCATAGTAGCAGTTCTTGTCTCGAATGAAAACTTGGAGAGCACACCTCTCATAAGACTTGGAGAGAAAGGAAACCTATACTTTATTATTATTTAGGGAAATTTACATATACGGTACACAATTTTTATATATTTACATATCTCACTTTCATTTTTACATAAGTAACAGTTTTGTGCTTTAAATAAAAAGATATATTTAATTATATAATTATATGTTTATTTAATAATATAATTCCTTCTTGCTTCCTAAGATTACAAAGATTGAAAGAGACAAATAATATGGCTGTAAGTGGTCTCCAGCTTGAATTGTCTTCTATAAAACACACAGATGTGATCCATTGAGTAACCAGGGACAAGAGCTTTCTACACGGAAAGAAAAACTAGCAGAAGGCCGAGGTCTCCTCCCATATCCATTTCCATCCACATCATAGAGATCTAAAGCCAGAATTACTCCATGGCTTCACCGAGCAGAGCTGTAGAATTCACCAAGGAGTATTTCACAACAGTTGCCTCCATCACTGCCTCGGCGATGCTCGCTCGAACCATCATCAATCAATGCCTTCCCAATGAGTTCCACAGCTTAGCTACCTCCAGCATACAAAAACTCTTGAGCCGATTCTCCACCACGGACACCATCATCATCCAACAAACCGAAGGACTCCATTCCAATCAGCTCTATGACGCCGCCAGCACCTATCTGAGGACGAAGATCTCCCTGACTATGAAGCGGCTGCGGGCTAGTAAGAGCGAGGACAACAACAACATCGTCATCAGCCTCGATGATGGTGAAGAGCTCGTAGATGAATTCCAAGGAGTGAAATACAGGTGGAAGCTCGTCATCGAAGATAATCAGTCCACCTCCCGCGGCGGTATAGAGATAACCGTCAGAGTCAAATGGTATGAGCTCAGCTTCCACAGCAAGTACAAGGACATGACATTGGCCACCTATTTCCCCCACATCCTGGAGAGATCCAATGACATTAAGACCGCCGACAGACGGTTGAAGCTTTATATGAACCAGTATGACAGATGGAGTTCCATAGACTTAAAGCACCCTGCAACGTTGGAGACGCTAGCAATGGAAGTAGAGCTCAAACAAAGGATCATTGAGGACTTGGCGAGATTTGTCAAGAGAAAGGAATACTGTAAGAAGATTGGGAAGGCCTGGAAGCGAGGATATCTGCTCTTTGGTCCTCCAGGAACTGGCAAATCAAGCTTGGTGGCCGCCATTGCTAACTATCTCAGGTTTGACATCTACGACCTGGATCTTAAGGAGGTTAACTCGAATGTTCATCTGAAAAAGCTGCTAGTAGCCATGACAAACAAATCAGTGCTTGTGATTGAGGACATTGACTGCTCCATTAGTCTGAAAAACAGATATGATGAGGATGAGAGCGAGACGTCGGACAGAGATGATGATATGACACTCGTAACACTTTCGGGGCTGTTAAACTTCCTTGATGGCTTATGGTCGGCCAGTGGTGAGGAGAGAATCATCGTGTTGATGACAAACTATAAGGATCGGCTTAACCCAGCATTGCTGCGACCAGGTAGAATGGATATGCACATCCATATGGGTTATTGTGGTCAAGATAGCTTCAGAATGCTGGCTTCTAATTACCATGCCATTGATGAGCACCCTCTGTTTGAGGAGATTGAAGAGTTGTTGAAGGAAGTGGAAGTAACTCCAGCAGAAGTTTCAGAGGAGTTTTTGAGAAGTGATGATGTTGATATCGCTTTAGGTGGTCTTATCCAACTTCTCCACAATAAAAGAATGGAAATGAAAGAGGAGAAAGGCAGAGCAGAAAATTCTGAGGACAACAAACAGGAAAATGGAAGCAAAAAACAAATAGTTGAAGGGAAGCAGCTAACTGACCATGATTCTGATGCAGTAATTATTGGATGAGGTTTCGGGACGGGATGTCCAATCTAATGTACATTTTATAAGCATTGCTCTACAGACCAAGTCATGCTAAGCTCACCCAGAGCAGTGGTCAGCCAAAATTACTATTCTCTCATCATAGTCCAAAAATTTTAAGCTCTCGACCACAGGTCTTGAAGAGTTGATTCTAAGAAGCATTTGTATCTCCTGTACTGAATAAATTTGAAATTATTGTAAGATGATAACTTCTGCATTGAATATATTTCAATGATTTGTGTTTTCTGTATTGATTATATTTGAAATGCATTGAATATATTGTACTGAGGTTAGCTCTACAGGCCACAGGTCTTAATGGTCGTATCACTTTCCACTTGAAGTAAATTATAAATTAGATTTCTTTTTGTCCCTTTTCACTAGTAAAAATTAAACAGCTAAATAAAATATAGCACGCCAAAATATGTAAATCATATCTTCTGTTGAGAAATTAGGGCAAAGAAAAATAGAAATCGACACAAATCCAGAAGAACACAAAGAGATTTAACGAGGTTCGGCAAAGATGCCTACGTCATCGGGAGTAGAGCGGCGACTTCTTTTTCAATATTCAGAAAAGAATACATAATACAAGATTCAGCTCTCTCAAAAACCTACGATTACAAATAGGTCTATGTATAATTTTAGAGTAAACCCTACAGTATAAAATTTAATTCCTAAATTACCTTTGTACCGTATAGTGGAGCGTTGACCCAGCACCCCCAACTCACATAACGTAACTTTCTGATTTGGAGAGATTCTTCCGCTTCGCTCCGACGTCTGTCCCTATATGGTATATGAGTCATACCATAACATCTTCCTAAATGATGATTTGTAGATCAACATTATAATAGCTCAGGTAGGTAGATCAACATTATAATTTGTAAATCATATCTTCTTACATATTATAATTTAAAATTATCTAAGGTGTCATAAAAATTGCCCGTCTACTGCACCGAATAGTCCTGCTTGAAAAAAAAAAAATCATCTGGTGTCTTTCTTAAAAGGTCGGTAAGAACACGATTTTTTTCAGTGGCAACCACTTTAAAGCCAAACAGTGCACGGAACAATGGGCGGTTCTCGCTTCTAAATTTTACCGATGCTTCTCGCATCCAAACGAGAGGATCCTACTTTCTCGGCTTTTGCCATATTTCGGAGAGAAAAGGTCCTCTCAAAAGTAACCTAAGTTAGATTTTAGCAGATTTATGATTAGACTTGTCATTTCAACCGTACAAACTAAATGAAGCTAAATGTGATTCAATTCAATTCCAAATAAGTTCAAATAATTAAAAATTTTGATGTGTTAATTGGAAGGTTGAGTAATATTTAAATTTGAGGTACAACTATAGGATTCTAATGAGCCCAAAATCACTTAGGGTGCGTTTGGGAGGGCGTTTTTGCTGCGGTGGCGTTTTGAAATTGCTACCTCGCATTTGGAAAACACGTGCCAGATACGTTTTATAAAATGGAGTTTCCATTTTACTATTACATGCGGATTGCGGTGTCCTACCGGCTATCCACGTTTCATTGTATGGAAAGACTCTCGATACCCCTCGTCGCTCCTCTGCCCTAATTTTGCAAGCAGCTCTCGCGCACTGCGGGATTCTCCCATCTCCTTCATAGGTCCTTCGTAGAACCCTAATCGAGTCCCTGAAGGTATGTTTGTGAGAATGCTATTTCTGTTTCGTTTCTTTGGATGCCTACGGTTTCATCTTCCTAAGAATGTTAATTGAGTCCCTGAAGAATTTATGTCCCATTTCTCATGTTCACGGTTTCATCTTCTTGATTTTTATATTACGTCATTATGCACTTCTTTGCGAAAGGATCTAATGTTATTTCTTTGTCCGCTGTTTCATCTTTCTCGCCGAAGTAGCGGGATGGTTTAGAAATTTTTTTGTTATCAAGCAGACTATTGTTGATGGATCCGATATTTTTGGTTATAGATCTGATGTTATTTTTGGTTATAGATCTAATATTTGGTACTTGTATTGTGTACTACCTGTGCTTCTTTGCGTTGATACTATTATTTGGAGGTGTTTTGGACTTCCTGCAGTGATATTCTATGATCATTATGAGGTATGGAAGGAAAATACTGGGTCAAAATTGGAGGAAGTTACATCAGCAATGTGGGACAAAGAAGTTACCAACATTTTCTGCAATATCTGTATTAAGGAGATTGAACTTGAAAATAGACCGACAACCTACTTTAACAAAGAAGGGTGACAAAATATTTCCAATAAGTTTAATGAATTGACAAGACGAGCTTACGAGATTGAAATTCAAGAACAAATGAGATCAACTAAAGAAAGATTGTGTACTTTCAACAAGTCTTCAAATTGTATAACTTTCAAGAACAAATGAAAGTTCGAGCACCCTCAGTCATCATATCAAAAGGTTCAACATAGCTTAGCACCTCCAAGCTATTTCCTGAATTACTTTTGTCTCTATTTACAACTCTCACTGCATGGGCAATATCCTGCCTCTACCAAATGTCTCTTTCAACAAGTCTAACCTTGTACCTCTTACTGTCATCAAGCTCAGTCTTCACCTAGTACATCAACTTGTTGTGTAATGCACTCTTCCCTGATGGAAGTTTTGTCAGCTCCCACTTGCTCGAACTTTCATCTTGCAAGATTTCTTCATAGCTCTGTGGTTCTCCACCATCTGTCTGTGGAACAATAGAAATGGATGCCCCAGACCCATTCTTCTCTTCACTTTCATCATCAACAGAACTATGAACTGCCAGCAATAGTGCATCATGTACTTCTTTATATATCATATTTGCGCTGTCATTCTCCATCTTATTAGGATTCTTATTAGGTTTCATGCAGTTCCTCTTTATGTGACCAGCCTTGCCACAATTCCAACACGTTGTCTGTTGACCATACTTTGATTTTGATATCATTTTATTTGAGTTCTTGTCATGTCATCTCCCTTTGAAATCAACATTCAGTGCCAAACTCGTACCTGAGATTTCTCCAGAATCTTTTTTGCGAATCTACTCAGCCAAAATTAAATCACGAATATAATCACATTTTAGTTTAAATTTCACTGCAGAGCTGCTAAATGTCATCCTCATGACTTCTCAACTATTTGAAAACGATGCCAACAATATCAGCGCACGTATCTCATCATCAAAATTAATTTCAACATACGATAATTGATGTGTGATAGTATTGAAATCATTCAGATGTTGAGCAATAAAAACACCTTCCATCATCTTCAAATTGTATAACTTCTTCATCAAGTACACGTTGTTATTCGCCAATGATTTTTCATATATACCTGACAGGGCTGCCATGAGATCTACACTCGTCCTTTCCTTGACAACGTTGTGTGCAACGGATCTCAATAAGGTCAATCTAATAACCCCCAGAACTTGTCTATCCAACAAATTCTATTCAGCCTGATCCATCATTTCAGGTCTTTTCTTCATTAAAGGAGGATGAAGTTTCTTTCCCATAGATGTAGTCTTCTATCTGCATCATCCAATAACTAAGATCTATGCCATCAAATTTCTTGATCTCTGAAACCTTCACTTCATCTGCAACCATCATTCTTCCTCAGATCCGAAAAAATCTCTGATATCAGTTGTTGCGACGAGATCTATAGATATACTAGTTGATGTTGTATATATATAAATCAAACAAGAGAACAATCGACGAATCGAAAAAATAAAACAAGAAAAATCACACCAGAAAATAACACATAGATTTAAGTGGTCTGACAAATTACGTACGTCCACGGAGTTGCAGAGGATTGTACTACTTGAGGAATTTACATCAATCGATCACCTCACTTACAAGAGGAATCTCTCACTTCACTGCGCTATCTTCTTCTCTATCTTTTCTTCTCTCTTTACACTGAGATACGCCGAAGAAACTCTACACCGAGATACACCAAAGAAGATAAACTTACAAGAGAAATAACCCCATTTTCTCCTCTGCCACAAGCCACCAAGAAGAAGCCAAAGAAAAACGATCTTCTTCTTCTTCTTTCTTCTTCATTCACCGCAATGAACTACTACTTGCACTTTCTTTCCTTCTATCTCGAAGAAACTGAAGAAGAATAACAACCGTGACCTAGAACCCGAAGGAGAGTCATCCAAAGCCTTTCATCGCGAATAGGAGGAGAGTATGAAAGGAGGCGGCATTTTGCGAAATGGAGGCGGGAACGGTTTGCATCGGGAGATGTCGCGACGATTCGCGACCTGTCACGATCAAGCGTGAGGCGGGAATTGGCGCCGATACGCGAAACATGAGGAGGTGCGAGCGAGAGTTGGCGAAATCGGGCTCAAGGGCTAACAAATATTAAGCAGAACTTCATATATAATGTTATTATTTATTATTGTAGCACATAATTATAACAATATATAATATTATTTTACGCTCTTCACTTGATAATTCTTAGTACACTCCTGTTCTCAGCCATAAACTGCTCTCACTGTTGTAGCGATGAGGCCCCAGGAGGAGCCGCTTCTCTCAGCCCACAACTCCGATGAAGAGTCGGCCAAGGTAGAAGAGGACGATGGAGCTTCGCCGCCGTTCTCGTGGCGGAAGCTATGGCGCTTTACCGGCCCAGGATTTCTCATGTCCATTGCATTCCTCGATCCCGGAAGCCTCGAGGGCGACCTCCAAGCCGGAGCCATCGCCGGCTATAGTCTCCTCTGGCTTCTTTTCTGGGCGACGGTGATGGGGCTTCTCATACAACTACTCTCCGCGAGGCTCGGCGTGGCGACCGGGCGACACCTCGCCGAGCTCTGCCGTGAAGAGTATCCCCGGTGGGCGGGGATTGTGCTGTGGATCATGGCCGAGGTGGCGCTTATCAGCTCAGACATACAGGAGGTTGTGGGAAGTGCCATCGCAATCAGAATACTTAGCGGCAGCGTTATTCCCCTGTGGGGCGGTGTCGTCATCACTGCCCTCGATTGGTTCTTCTCTGTCTAGTCTTAAGCCTTTGAATGGTTCCTATAATCAAATTTTATTTAGATTTATCTTTTTTACCAAAAATTGGCTGCCACCTAAAAATCTTGCAGCTTATCGGTTTTTTTTTTTTTTTTTCGGGGGAATATTTTTTGGAAGGGAATTGTTCTTTTTGTTATTTTACTATGTTTTATTTTGCTATGTCAGGGTATAGTCTTATGAAATTGTCTTGCTTGCTATCTGCGAGTGCTTGAATTAGATTGTTTTCCGATATAATCGGTCTCTGAATTTTTGAGAAGTATGAAGAATGCCCTGCGATGATGATTTAGAGTAACTTTATAGATGTTGATGGAACTTCCAATTACCCTTCAATAGAAACTAAGCACTAGCAACACAAAGAACCAGTGCTAGCTTAAAGAACACAGAACAAGAAAACAAGTCTTTCTCTAACAAACTGATTTTCTTTCTTTTCTTAATCTTGACCTGTTCTGACTGTTTCTTGAATCCTTATTGTCTGACCTTTCTCTAACAGTAAGACCACCTCGACTGATTTGCTCTTTCATGTCATGTTTCCTTTGAAGTTTTTTGGTTCTAATCAGCGATTGAATCTCTTCTAGTGAAATTGTTTGCTCCCTTCCACAGAGCATTGCATCTTTGAAGTGGGCGTAACTCTCAGGAATAGAGTTTAGTAACAGCAGTGTCTTGTCCTCATCATCCATCTTGACGTCGATATTTTTAAGTTCGTCTATGATTTTGTTGAACTCTTCAATTTGCTTTGAAATTGATTTGTCTTCGTGAATTTTGAAAGAATACAGGCGTTGCTTTAAGAAGAGTCTATTGGTCAGAGATTTCGTCATGTAAAACAATTCGATTTTGACACAAAGCGCTTGATCCTGTTGTGCTGGAGCCCGATCCCGATCCCGCCTCCGACCACTCCCACTTACCCCTCCTCACGTTTCGCGAATCGGCGCCATCGCTCCCGCGTCCGATCGCGAAAACTCACTATCCCGTTTTCCCTCTGTCGCGATACCTATTCCCACTCCTTCCGCCTCCATAGTCGCGAACAAAGCGATACTTCGTTTCTGTTGTTTCGCGATAAAAGGTTCGCGCAGCTCTCCTTTAGCGCTAAGTCATAGTGCAACCCATTTGAATTCTTCTTCGAACTTCCACGGGATAGTGGAAGGGCTTACTCAGGATAGAGGAAGAGAAGTGCAAGCAGTGTACATGCTTTGCAAAGGAAGAAAGAAGGAAGAAGATGAAGCTTGTTCTCCCTTGTCTTCTTTTTGGTGGCTTGTGATAGAAGAGAAATTGAGTTTTATTTCTCCTGTAAGTTTATCTTCTTCGGTGTATCTCGGTGTAGAGTTTCATCGTTGTATTTCAGTGTAGAGAGAGAAGAACAGATAAAGAAGAAGAGAGAACAACGAAGTGAGATATTCCTCTTGTAAGTCGAGACGATCGACTGATGTAAATTCCTTCCTCAAGTAGTAAAATCCTCTAGTAAAATCCTCTACAACTCCGTTGACGTAGACAATTTGCCCAACCACGTAAATCTATGTATTCCGCTGTGTTATTGCTTTATGGTGTGAATTTTCTTGTACTATTTTTCGCTTCGTCGATCGTTCTTTTGTTTGATTTATATATACCACATCAATTGGTGTATATAGTTTACGACAACTGGTATCAGAGCTTTGTTCGGATCTGAGGGAGAATGATGACTGCAAATGAAGTGAAGGTTTCAGGGACCAAAAAATTTGATGACACAAATTTTGGTTATTGGAGGATGCAAATAGAGGACTACCTCTATGGGAATAAACTTCATCTTCCATTATTGAAGAAAAAACCTGAAAGGATGGATGAGACTGAATGAAATTTTTTGGATCGACAAGTTCTGGGGGTTATTTGATTGACGGCCCTATCGAGGGCTGTTGCCCACACGTCGTCAAGGAAATGACGACTGCAGATCTCATGGCAACATTGTCAGGTATGTATGAAAAATCATCAGCGAATAACAAAATGTATTTGATGAAAAAGTTATTCAATTTAAAGATGGTTGAAAGTGTTTTTGTTGCTCAACACCTGAATGATTTCAATACCATCACAAATCAATTGTCATCAGTTGAAATTGATTTTGATGATGAGATACGTGCGATGATATTGTTGGCATTGTTGCAAAATAGTTGGAAAGCCATGAGGATGACAGTTAGCGGCTCTGTAGGTAAATCTAAATTGAAGTATGATGATATTCGTGATTTGATTTTGGCTGATGAGGTGCGCAGGAAAGATTTTAGCAAGATCTCAGGTACGAGTTCGACACTGAATATTGATTTCAGAGAAAAATGACAAGACAAAAACTCAAATAAAGAAAGATCAAAATCAAAGTTTGGTCAGCATGCAATCTGTTGGAATTATGGCAAGACTGACCACATAAAGATGAACTGCATAAATCCTAAGAACTGCATAAATCCTAAGAAGATGATCTCAAGAAGGTGGAGAATAATAGCACAAATGTGGTATTTGAAGAAGTACAAGATGCACTATTATTGACAGTTCATAGTTCTGTTGATTATGGAAGTGAAGAAGAGAGTGTGTCTGAGACACTAATTCCTATTATTCCACAGACAGATGGTGGAGAACCACAGAGCTATGAAGAAATCTTGCAAGATGAAAGTTCGAGCAAGTGGAAGCTGACATAACTTCTACCAGGGAAGAAGACATTACACAACAAGTGAGTGTACCATGTGAAATCTGAGCTTGATGACAGTAAGAGGTACAAAGCTAGACTTGCTGAAAAAAACTTTCAGCAGAGACAATATATTGCCCATGCAGTAGGAGCTGTAATCAGAGACAAAAGTAACTCAGGAAATAGCTTGGAGGTGCAAGACCAGGTGGACCCTGCTGATATGTTGACTGAGGGTGTTACTCTTGAGAAACTGAAGTTGTGCGCAACTTTAGTGGGTCTTTTGGAGTGAAGACAAAAGCTTTGAGTTGCAGATGTGAATGATTCATGTTTGAAGAAAAAAAGTCGACATCGCAGTAGAGGATATCAGTTTGAGGAAGAAGACATTGTAGCATGTGTATCAGTCTCCAAGTGGGAGATTTGTTGTGCGGGAGCCCGATCCCGATTCTGCCTCTGACCGCTCCCGCTTACCCCTCCTCCCGTTTTGCAATCAGCGCCATCCCTCCTGCGCCCGATTGCGAAAAGTCACGATCCCGTTTTCCCTCAGTCGTGATACCTGTTCTAGCTCCTCCCGCCTCCACAGTCGCGAAACGAAGCATTGCTTCGTTTCTGTTGTTTCACGATAAAAGGTTTGTGCGGCTCTCCTTTAGCGCTAAGTCACAGTGCAGTCCATTTGAGTTCTTCGGACTTTCACGGGACAATGGAAGTGCTTCCTCGGGATAGAGGAAGAGAACTACAAACAATGTGCGTGCTTTGCGGAGGAAGAAAGAAGGAAGAATAAGAAGACGAAAAAGATTGTTCTCCCTTGACTTTTTCTTGGTGGCTTGTGGCAGATGAGAAATTAAGTTTTATTAGTAGTTTATTTCTCTTGTAAGTTAATCTTCTTTCGTTTATCTCGGTGTAGAATTATTTCGGTGTAGCTTGGTGTAGAGAGAGGAACAGATAACAACGAAGTGAGAGATTTCTCTTGTAAGTCGAGACGATCGACTGATGTAAATTCCTCAAGTAGTAAGATCCTCTGCATATCCGTGGACGTAGGCAATTTGCCGAACCATGTAAATCTGTTTGTTCCGCTGTGTTACTATTTTCTGGTGTGAATTTTCTCGTACTATTTTTTCGCTTCGTCGATCGTTCTTCTGTTTGATTTATATATATATCACATCAACTGGTGTATATAGTTCACAACAGAGTCGTCGTCTCACTCGACACTTCTCTCAGAATTTTGTCACACAAGCTCAAGATTATCAAATTATGAGCTCTGTCCAGGATGTCATTCTTCTCTTTCTCGGACATCTCGACCGATAATGACGTAGGACCTAGCAGTGTTTCGGTGACCTCTTGCTGCACCAATAGAGCTCTTATCTTGACTCTCCACAAGTCGAAATCATTCTTTCTGGTGAATTTTTCTATGTCAAATTTGGCAGTTCCCATTGTCGTGACTAGAATTCCCACAGACGACGCCAATTGCTGATGAAATCTACTGCCTAGAAAGTCGCAAGACAGCAAGGGAAAACCGAAAAAGAAAGAAAAAACCGCAAAGAAGAAATCCAAACAAGAACACCGAGAACTTGCGTGGTTTGGTTCATAAGATCTACATCCACTGGAGAGAATTAATGAACAATTCACTAAGACAATCTTGAAGATTACACTACACAATTTCAAGGACGGACTGATCTTCTTTAGCTCTCTATCTATTTTGATATCGATAGAAGCTTTCTTGGTTCCTCAAGAACGAACCATTCTTCTCTAGTTCTCTATCGATCTTGATCTTGATACAAGTTTTATTGGTTCCTCAAGGACAAACCAATCTCCTCTAGTTCTCTATCGATCTTGATCTGGATACAAGCTTTCTTGGTTCCTCAAGGACGAACCAATCTCCTCTAGCTTTCTATCGATCGATACAAGCTTTCTTGATTCCGAGCCCCCTATCAATCTTGATCTCGATAGAGGCTTTCTTGGTTCCTCAACTTACTCTCAGAATTTCTATCTCCCTTAACCCTCTCAACTCATATACATTATTAGATAAATATAGACCAATGACCTATACACTATGACCGGTTAAACGCCTTTAAATAGCCAAATGATCATTGTACCCATTAGCTATTTAAACCTCCATATAAACGCGGCTTTGTCTTAATTCGCATAATTGGGTGTCATTTATAACAATAGTTTTGTTCAGTTTACCTCAGTTTCTGTGTTGATGAGTTGGTCAGTGGGAAATATAGTTGTTCAGTTTACCTCTATTATATTATTTGGTTAATATAAACCTACTTGTATATTAACTCTAAAATATACAAGTTCCTCAAAACCTCTATATTTGAAAAATAAATTCTAGAAAAATCATTTCCAAATAGAACAATGACGCAAAACTAAGAACAGGGAGAAGAAGAAGTTGTTACCCGTTGGAAGAAGTTAATACAATAGTTTTACCCGTGGGAAACTACAGATTTCATTTCGCCTTTCTTCTACAGCAGTACAGAGTATATATTGCTAATATGGAATATTTTAGAGTGAGGTTTGTGAGCTGTAATGAGTGCGTCTGCTGCCATTCGGTTATGATAGTGGCGTTAGTTGGAGACCACTATGCGTATTATGGCGGCTAATAACTCCCTGTTTCTGTGTTCATGAATTGGTCACTGGAACAAGTTCCTCAAAACCTCTCAATTTGAAGAACCTTTACTGATTTAATATTTTCTTTGAATTCTACCATTTTTATATGCTTCAGCTGTTTGTTATATCTAATTATATATTATCGAGCTTGTAAAAATATACTGTTAATTTTGATCTGTTTATTCATGGTTAAGTTTTTGCCTGTACCGGCTAATTAAATATTTCTGCCTACTATTTTGTTGGCAGCTTCGTTTTCCTCTTCCTTGAGAGTTTTGGTGTGAGGAAACTGGAAGCTTTTTTTGCGGTTCTAATTGCAACCATGGCTATTTCCTTTGCTATAATGTTTGGTGAAACCAAGCCCAGTAGGAAGGATCTCCTTATTGGTAGTTGCCTTTATTGATTATCAAAAGACATTAAATTTTCCTGTTATCTTCTCCCCGGCACCTTTTAACTCCTTTGGATTTTGGAAGCTTTACATACCTAGCGCTCAATTCTTATGTATTTACAGATCTAACTCCTAGACTTCAATTTTTACATACATACCACCTTACATATACATGAAAATGTGTACTCCAATTTTTATAAGTTAAAATGATGGGGTTTTTTTATGTGATGTGAAAGGTTTGGGTTGTGTAAATGTAAGAGAAATTTACATTTATAATACTTTGGTGTCATAAACCTATACATGCAAAGATTAATTTCACTTTTGAAAAGATAGTTTATGCGCAATCAACAAATGTTATCATTTAGCACGAATCTAAAGACATTTGACACGAATCTTAAGATTTTTTTTTAGCAAAGAGCGTTCAAACAATTAAAATTCATACGAAACTCTGATTTCAACAAACATATTGTCAAACTGATTGACTCGAAGAGACGTACCCAATGACACCAAAATTGTTCAAATTCGAGTAAAATCAAACCCATATCAAATCGTTAAGCGACTTTCAGAAGCTTTGGGTTGTCCATTGGACAAATGGATTCCAAATCCGACAAATTTATAGTCAAATTTTGCGTCTCAATGAGATAAATACAATGAGTCCATGATCACTTATTTCTTACATCATTAAGATACTCAAATGTTCACAAAATATTATTCGATCAAAGGAATTGCTTTAGGCCATCCGATGAAGTGGTTTGAATTTCTGTCTTATTTACAGGGAATGCCACTCCCAAAATCTGCAAACAAAACCTCACTCTCTTCATGAAGGGAATACCTAGACCTAGAGCTAGACTAGGACAAAGAGTCGAGTTTCAGTGTTATTCTAGATCAAAGACCCGTCGAACACTTCCTGCTTCCACTGCTGCTGACTAATGTTGACCGTCCCCTGCTCGTCGTCATCAATGAACATTGAGGAGTAATGAAACACGTCACAACAAAACACTCTGCGGATGTATACCCCAAAACTACAAGCACGAATCTCAAAGGGAATGAGCGGCTGAGGATGGTGACTGAACAATTGAAGTCTCAAACCAAAGAACATAAACTGAACCAGCCCATCTAGCGTCCAATTGCTCGGTTGAGTCGACCGACATACGATGTCGATGGATCCAGTCAGTGGATGTTGCTTTATGGTTGCAGCTACCTGAGCTTCTCATAGGGCTAACCGGTTAAAACTAGTTGACATGCCGTTTTTCCTCGATGGAAGCGACCTACATGCTACCGACCGCTTCGATTTACCGAACCCAATTCGTCTACAGATTGATAACTGTTGTATTTCACTCAAATTGTACGCAAATCTGATATTAAATTAGCGCATTAATTGCATTTTGGGCGGTTACCATAACCGTTCCCTCATTTTCATAATTGTACAATTAGATCTCTATAAATAGAAGTTCAAAAGATGAATAAATAACTTTCCTCCCGAATTTTGTATCTACTCTACCCTTTCTCTTTGTTCTTCTCTCGGCTCTAACTCTGGAGGCGTGCATTTCAAAAGACAATTTATAAACCAACATCTTAAAAGATAGTGCGGCGAGCGTGGGCATGCCACATACGAGAAGCAAAGTTTTGAAGGAGAAACCTTACAGAGAAATGTAGCATTGATGGAGTTGAGTAGAGAGACAGTGCGTCAAGATATCCAGGAAGAAGTCCAGGCATTGCAAGCGCAGATGATGAACCAGTTTGTGGTCCTCCTGGCGGCGATAACTCAGAGGGACTAACGGTCAAGCTAGCAATCAACTGACCGAAGGGCAAAGGGACTCCCAACACGCTGATAGTGCGGGATCTACGCTGATGGTCAGGCTTCGGGTAGATCAATGGGGAGCACCCCTCCAGACTAACTGCAGAGAGTGCTTTCTCTCGGCGGATCCTGGAGACTATACCTCGACGAAGCTAAAGATTCGTCATTTAGATCCTTACAATTGGAAGTGTGACCCGATTAACTATGTGACTTCTTTCGAATCGTCGGTCAGAGTCTTGCAGATCAATGACGCAATGAAGTGTCGGCTTTTGCTGACCACGCTAAAGGATTCGGCTCTTTGGTGGTTCAACATTTTACCAGATGGGATCATTCCATCCTTCTATGAATTTAGGGGACTCTTTTTGACGAACTTCGCCAACGTGTAGAAGCTGAGGAGAGATACCGAGGCTGTGCTCCAGATTAGGCAAGGAGAGAATAAAAGTCTGCGGACTTACATCACTCATTTCCAGAAGAAAATGCTGGAAGTAAAAGACCTACAGCCTCTCATCACCTGGACTGTGGTAAAGCAGGGAATCCGCAACAGGTGACTCAGGAACGACCTGAACTTGCTCAAGTCAAGATCCTTTGTCGAGGTATTGAAACCAGCTAATGATCATATTGCTGTCGGGGAAGCCTTTATGGACTCCTCGGAGACCAAATTGGATTCATTCAACCGTCGGTAGCTGAAGCGAAAGGATCATGACGACGAGAAAAAGCCGAAGGGCGATCGAGCCCTTGACGGTCGGCAGAACGATAACCCTCGGTCCCGGGATAATAGAGGAAGTAATCAGGGCAACAAAGGGTCAAATGTACCATTCCGACCAGCAGTCGGCTCAGTACTATGAGCGACCGCATGTTTACTGGGGGATGCAGGATTCAACACCCTGAATGTGCCGATGGCCGAGCTAGTCCAAGCCATTTAAAACAAGGATTAATTCAAGAAGGCCCCTTCACTGAAAACCACACCCTCCCTTTGAAATTCAAATAAGTATTGCGCCTACCATCGGGACCACGGTAGGACACGGAGGAGCACCGCCATCTTAGGAATTTGGTGGAGGAGCTCATCAAGGCCTGAAAATTGAAGGAGTTCGTTGCTGTCGGAGGACACACAAGGCAATAGGTGATGGTCCTAGCGGAGGAGCCCACAAATGGACATGTCCGAGCAAATGAGATCCATTTGGCTGGGGTCATTCCAGCTATCTTTGAGGGAAGCGGGAGTCATCTCGGTAGTCCAGCCTGAAGAGACGCCGATCGGGGGAGGTATGTTACATCGCCTTTTATGCTCGTACTCATTCTCTAATCATTTTTACATTTGCAGATCTCCCACCAAAGGGGAACTCGTACAGAGATGTAATCTTCGTTACGATGCTTATAAACAACTATCATGTGGATAGTATCTTGGTCGACACTGGAAATTCGGTGAACATCCTATTCAAACCAGCGTTCAACAAGATGGGACTCAAAACCAACCGGTTAACAACGTTGGCAGGTCTACTATTTGGCTTCTCCGACGAAAGAAAAGAAGCCTTAGACGTGATTGCTTGGGCCATCTTGTGGGGTGAGCGAGAAAAGCCGTTCATCAACACAGAAGATTCTGGTGGTGGAATCCCCACTAACTTACAATGCAATCTTCGACCGACTGTTGCTGAATAGTTACCAAACAGTGACTTCAAATTTCCACGTGGCTGTGAATTTTTTGGAGATGGGGAGATAATCAGGGTCCGAGGGAACCTGGAGCAGTCAAGAAGCTGCTACCTCGAGCGGTCACCAGTTTCGATCACGAGCCTCTCAACATTCAGATCCAGAGGGAAGGGGTTCTCGAGACCAGTGAGATCGTCCTCCGGGTGCCCGTCATCGACAATGAGCCTATTAAGATTTTTCTGATTGGTGAGAGTTTTGATGTAGGACACAAGGATTTGTTGATCTAAACCCTTTGCAAGCATCGAGACGCCTTCACTTAGGAAGCCGCAGAGATGACCGGAGTTCCGATCAATGTCACATGCCATCGACTTAATATTAGCTAATTCGCTCGATTGGTAGAACAGGAGCTTTTGTCAATTACAAGAACCTTGATCAAGCCATACCCTTCTAAAGTAACCTTCGGAGCACAAACTCTCTGCTTAATCTAGTTTGCTCCATTCGGTCGGCGTCGCAGTGGAACCTATTCAGAATAGTCGACTCACGGAGGGTGTCTAATTCACACATTGCACCCGCCAGCCTGCTTTGCAAAGTGGCAACCTCCGCTAGCAATGCCACCACCTCGAATGAAGTTTTTTATAAATGGGTCTTCTGAGGTTTCAGCTGAGGCATATCTCTTCTAAAGTAACCTTTGGAGAACAAACTCTTCGACTAATCTAATTTGCTCCATTCGGTTGGTGTCGCAGTGGAACCTATTCAGAACGGTCGACTCATGGAGAGTATCTAGTTCACACATTGAACGCGCCAGCCTGCTTTGCAAAGTGACAACCTCCACTCGCAGTGCCACCGCCTCTGAATTCGTGGTTGCCAAACGAGCTGACAATTCTTGCATAGGATCTTCAACAAAACTTTTGGCAGCTCCCTTTGAAGGACCGATTGCAACCTACATGACTCATAATTCACGTAGCTCCCAACTCAGCTCTTATGACTTACAGACATTATTATAGCTCATCACTACGATTTATATGACCAACTACTACCTACGCGACTCACAACTCTAGCCCCTGTGGCTTACGAACGTTATTGCAGTTCACTACTATCACCTATGCGATGAGTTAAAGCCTATGTGACTCACAACTCACACAGTTCCCAACTCCGGCCACTATAGCCTATGTGTGACGATCTGACCTGATATAACCCACATATTGTAATAGATTATACAATGTCGATTATGCGACAGATTATTTAGCCCAAGTTCTATTTGGAATGAATTTATTTTATCTTATAATTGTGAGTCCTTAAGTCATCAATAATAGTGTAAAAATAAAGCTAAAAATCATTATAATTTAATTTTCTTTTTTTACATTAAAACTATTTACTTCCAAAACAGTTAAATACATTGATCATGTTTTTCTAATAATTCCAACAGACATACATATTTATCATGTTCACAAAATATATATATTAAAATATACCTCTATTATCAAGTACTAACAGCTCTCTTCACTGGATCCTTACCCTTTCCTTAAAATATGTAAAAACAACCAGAGTAAATGAACAACTCGGTATGTTGCACGAAACCTACAACTGAAATCAATGTACAAAAATATAAAAATATGAATGGTTGCATCATAATCATATCATATATGCTAAACAAGTAAGTCTCTAGGTCATTAAACATGTATATGCATATTGTAAAACATATACCTGATATCAAATCATAATAGTAGCAATATATAAAATGTATATAATCAAACATAACTTTCATTACTCATATATTATACAAGTTAGGTGATTCGACTAATCATATGGTGTTTTTCCTGTACCAATCATAGTAAAATATGTACAATATTAATCATATCATATCATGTTAGTAAAACTGTCAAAACAGTCAGTTAGCTAGCACAGTACACGGGTCGTCACCCATAGCCCGCGACACTCATAACATATCATATTCACCCTTTATGACTCCCAACATTTATCGGGTTTACACCACTAACCTATTTAATGGAAATCCTTCGGCCCACTCTTGCGCATGGTAACATATTTTCGTCAACCTGAATCATAGTAGCCAACATTTCTTAAAAACACATGTTTCATAATAGCGTAGCATTTTTAAGCTATTATAATATACTCAACATTACAATATATACGTAAATCATTCATGTACAACAAAATAAGGAGATCCACAGTATGTAATAATATGATCAATTTATATGCACAAATCAATATATATTAAGCATGTATGTTGTCATCTTTGTGTCAGTATTTTATAATATACATGATTTTAATTTAATTTTATAAAATTTTATATAGCTCAAATTAGAACTTTTGTGTCGAATAAAAAAAATACATAGTTGAAAATTTAATATGCATGTCAAAATGTGCAGAATAGCTATAACAATAATATATTAAAAGCTACACGATAAAAGTTTCAAAAATACAGAGATATCATTAATTTTGTAAGTTTTGGGCATCTAAGTTTGAAAAAAAAAAGACAATGATTGAAATCAGAGGTACGGTAATGGTAGTTTACTTTTAGTCAATCAATTTTCCAAACTGGTTTGTCGCGAGAAAATAGAACTGTAGCCTCCAAAAACTCTCTTTTCTTTCCTCTCACCATCTCTTTCTCCTTATTTTCCCCTTCTTCCTCACAGTTTGGAATTCCAAAAAGCACGAAATGTGTTTTTTATATAAAAAATGTGCAAAGGATATATACATAATTATCTAATTTGTTTGATGTAAATTGCAAAGTTCATATAAATCATCTTATATTTTGAAATCCAAAACTCCAAAAATTACGAAAAAAATAGTCATAAGATAGATTATGATGTCTAAATCACTCAGGTGAAAATGGTTTGCAAAACATATGTCAAATGACTCCAAAAATAAATTTATGCTTGCACGTGTACTCATCTTAAGAAATTGCAACTATAGCATTAATCATATAATTTCATATCTATATTTATCATAAAAATATGAAAAAATTAAATTAATAAAAGTTCATTTTTTTTATATTTTTATGAAGGTGGTTTGTAAATCAGGCTTATACAAGTGTAAAAAAAATTATTCAAAGTTTTCACATCAAATCTTTCTTTTTTATATTTTCCACTATTTGTTTATTATTTATTAATCAATTTCTTAAAAATTGTTTCAAAGGCCAAAATAGCATAAAAATCATCTTAATGGACGTATTTAAACATTTATTAATAAAATATAGCTTGAGTATTGTGGTTCATTTGCATATGTAAAAGTTTTGAGTATCATAATCTTCACTCCTTAAAAAAATATCGTCATCGATATTTCAATGCTTAAAATTTAACCAGTGAATAAATCTGTGTATAAATATATCTTATAAAACTTTTTATCCTAAATTGCTTTTTTTGTAGGCTGTCCATTAGCCATCTCATGTTTTTTGGAATACATATGATCTCAAACATAACACTCTCAACCATAAATAATAATATATAATAACTCAATTGATGCACATGCAAGCATGAACACAATAAAATAAAATTATTAAACTACCAAATTGTACTACTCATTTCATAATCAATCATATCGCTCATTGTTTAATCAATTCCTCTAAACACTATTGCTCTGATACAAATTTAATCTGTTATGTCCTGACTTGATATAACCAATAATTGGTAATAGATTATGCAATGTCGAGTACGTAATAGATTTTTAGTCCAAAATCTATTTAGAAGAAATTTATTTTATCTTTTAATTTTCATTACGCACCACTAGGTTATCAATATTAGTGTAAAAATAAAGCTCAAGATCATTATCAATTCATTTTCTTTATAAACATGAAAATTATTTACAAACAAAACATTTATATATATTGTTTATGATTTTCTAATAATCCTAACAAAAACATACGTATTTATAATGACCACAAAATATATATTAAATTATACCTCTATGAACAAGTACTAGCAACTCACTCAATTGGATTCTTATCCTTTTTTGAAAATATGTAAAAACAATTAAACTAAGTGAACAACTCAGTAGGTTACACAAGACCTACAACTGAAATCAATGCACATAAGTTGAACAACATTCATGATTGCATCATAATCATATCATATATGCTAAATAAGTAAGTCCATAGGTTACTGTACTTGTATATGTATACTGTAAAATATGTATCCGCAATATGATATCAAATCACAATAGTAGTAATATATAAAATGCATATAATTAAGCATAATTATCATCACACATATACTATATAAGTTAAGTTATCCGACTAATCATATAGTGTTTTTCCTGTATCAATCATGGTAAAACATGTAGAGTATCATATCATATCATGTTAGTAAAATTGTTAAAACTGTCAGTTAGGTGATACAATACATGTAAGTCAACACCCCTAGCCCGTTGGTTTTTATCCTCTTCAGAGTTTTTCACGTAAAAATCACGATGTTTTCATCTGTTACTTCTCCATTATGTGTGTATGGGCTAGATTTTCGTACAACCACTAATTTATTACTCTACCGTCGTGAATCTTCCGACATGCAACTATTAGTGATGGTGGTATTTCTGCTATGATGTTAAAGATTTGAGTGATTTGAGTGTTAAAGATTTGAGTGGTATGCATGTAAATATAAATATTTAGGTGTTAGATATGTAAATACATAAGAATTGCGCGATGTATGTAAATGCCTTAAAATGTAAATAGTAAAGTTTAGATGTTAGATATGAAAATACTTAGGAATTGGGTGGTATGTATGTATAACATCCCGTTGCATTTTGAGCTTACGCTGAATTTTTCTTCACAGGCATGATTGTTCCAAAGCTAAGTCCTGGTACCATAACACAAGCTGTGGGGTTAGTAGGTTCTATCATAACCCCCCACAATGTTTTCCTGCATTCTGCTCTGGTTCAGTCTAGAAAGATCAATACTAAACATACAGGCTGTGTCAGTGAAGCAATAGGATATTACTACATAGAATCAGCTGCAGCTCTTGCTATTTCCTTCGTTATCAATTTTTTTGCAACCACAGTTTTTGCGAAATCATTCTACGGAACTAAATTTGCTCAAGATATGGGTCTTGAGAATGCAGGGCAAGTTCTACAAGAGAAATATGGGGCTACTTTGTTTCCCATACTTTATATTTGGGGCCTTGGCTTGTTAGCTTCTGGACAGAGTAGCACTATTACGAGCACCTACGCCGGACAATTTATCATGGGAGGATTTTGTAATATTCACGTGAAGAAATGGGTTCGTGCACTTATTACTCGAAGCTGCGCACTCGTGCCAGCAATGATAGTTATGTTTTGCTCTTCTGATACCGCAATGGATGGTTTGAATGAGTCACTTAATAGTCTTCAGTCAATCCAGGTTCCATTTGCGCTTATTCCCCTTATCAAATTGGTGTCGAAGGAACAAGTTATGGGTTTGTTTAGAATTGGCTTCATTCTCAAAGTAAGTAAATTTAAATTGTCAGCATCACAAGTCCATAACTCCTTTCTGGCAAGATGGTTTATCTTTGTTAATAACTATTGTCACCAATCATCAAATTATCCTTTGCTTTTGTGTGCTTTATGTAACAGGTAGCAAGTAAAGAGAAGTAGAGAGAACCACTAAGTAGCTGTAGGGCATAATAGAGAAGAGCAGGAACAAATGTCTGGTAGGAAAACTGTATTTAGCTATATTCCGTATTGAATTACAGTAGACATCATATTAGTAATTGCTGTGAGCTATAAATATAGCTAATGTAAGTACAGATGTTTGTTACAATCGGTAAGGTGTGGAATGCGGAGCCATAGGTTGCAGGAATCGGTATTTTCGTTATCTCCACCCTTCAGGTTGATAGTCCGTCCAGTCATGGAGTGTCAACTTGTTAAAGTGCATTTTGAATCTATTTGAGATAGTTGTCTTGGTAAAAATGTCTGCTAGTTGATCTGTAGTGAAGACATGTTTGCTAATACAATAGCAGAATGTTGTCATAGTAGAATGGAGTGGGAGCTGGAAGAGAAATAGGTAATCCTGCAGCAGTCGTATTGTCCAGATGATTTGGTTACTGCTGTGGATGGTGCCCGTTACTTTGTTTTGGTGGAGGTTACCTATTGTTCGGTTCTTGGTGCACCATGAGAAAAGCGTGCGGCCCAGGAATATGTAGTTGCCCGTTTTTTATTTGCAATTGGTGGGGTCACCAACCTAATATGAGCTGGAATATGCTTGGAGAGTTAGGTCAGCTCGATGAATTAGTAAGCCTTTCGCTCGGGTGCTGTTGAGATATCGAAGGATTTGTTTGGGTTGTATGAAGCGAATGATGAGAGGGTTATGAAGATGTTGGCCACTTGGTGCCGATTGAATTGGGGGTGGTTGTAGGGCATATGATTTGTGGATGAGAGAGATGGTTTGGTGGAGACTAGTGTGTGGATGGGTTTATATGAAATCATGCCAGCTTTGGTGAGAATATCAGTTGCATATTAGGACTGATTAAGGTGTAGGCCACTAGGTGTATGAGTTATGTGTATGCCGAGGAAGTTGTTGGGTTTGCCAAGGTTTTTTACTTGGAAGAGTTGCTGCAGTTTCCTGATTAGGTGATACAAAACAATTGGTTCATTGCCAATGATTAGGATTTTGTCGACATAAATTAGAATATAGATTTCAGGATTGCATCATTAGGGAAAGGTCGGCTGAGCTGGGTTAGAGATCAAAGGATTGCAGGGTGTTTGATAGTGTGAAATATCATTTCTTGGGGAATTGCATAAGGCCGTATAAGGCTTTCTTTAGGGAGACATATATGATGTGATTTGAAGGGTCCTGAAATCCTTGAGGTTGACACATAAAGGCTGCCTTGGTGAGAGGTCCTTGTAGGAAGGCATTTGATACATCAAGTTGAGTAATTGGCCAATGATTATGGATCCCCGTAGTACCTTTTCTGACCTTCACTTCACCTAATCGAGCCCCATCTATATCTATATCTTAATCAGCCTATGAACACACATTGATTTCTTAATCTGAGTGTTTCCAGATATGCCCTGGAATTAATTAATCTTTGGAGCTTGCTCTTTTTGGAAACCTTGACCCCCGAAATTAAAATAAATCTAATTTGGAAGCCCTTCTACCTTTCATTGAATCCCTCATGCTTATGGAGTCGATTAATTTAAAACAGGCTAAGTTACACTGTGATAAGCTCTTATTTTCTTTAACTTTTCATTGGTTAGAAATTAGTTATTTTTACCTTGGTGCAGGTTGTTCTTGGTACTTCTTTGCAAATATGAGTGTTTAGGTAGTGACTATATAGTGTGATGGGTGTACCGGATAGGCACCTTTTTTGTTGTTTTCTCAGAAGATTTTAACAGAGCGTTATTCTATTTGTTCTTGTTGTTTTTCCCTTTTCTCTGTTTGTCCTGGGATTACACCGCGACCTAAATCAGATCATCTACTAGAGTCTTTGAGATATTTCACATAGCTTATTTCACTACTTAATTAGCCTGATTAGGTAAATCCATGTATGTACTCAAAACACTAACTGTATATGAAATATTCAATTGCGGGCACATCATAGGTACATGATACTTAACAAAAGTGAAAAAACTCTTTGAATTCTACACCAATCCTCTAGTTAACCCTTTACAATCAGCCATGTTTTGTATTTGATTTTATCTCCATCTTACGTTTCCTCTTTATGTTTGAAGATCCTTTGCATCCAATAGTTGTTTTCCTTTAAATTTTTGAGTTTGATTCTAAGTTTTATTCTTTTGCAAATGGTTCAATTCCACTATCATGTATGTGATCCTCAACTTTGACTCATCTCCACTAATAGCTTTCTCGAATGTGGAGGACTCCTACTCACTAAAAGAATATACAAAAATCAAAGTATTCAACCAAATCTTAGAATATACAAAAATCAAAGAATATACAAAAATCATATGAGAACAAGATAAAGTTTCAACCAAATCTCTAAGGTGATTTAATGATTAGTGATAGTTTCTTTTGGTTATAGTGGTCTTACCTCCTTTCAAGGTTTAGGCTCAAAAACTGCTATGACAAGCTATCATTCAATAGTTGAATGTATCGAAAATCACGTTTTTTCTTGAGCATTAAGACTCAAACCATTTAAGAAGCATCTATAAAGGTATGTATCTCAATTCGCGCTCCGATCTAAGAACTAGCAATACGCGACAAATTAAACTGAATGTAATCCCCCTTTTTTCCTGTTAACTCAAATACATCTTTGTGCTTATTCTTAATTAGCACTCGTTGAAATCCAAAGCTCCAAAGCTCTTCTTACCACAAAAGAGACTCTTTCGCTCAGCTTTAATAAGCTGCCGTCTAACATATATCGAAACCTTTTATGTCATATTATAGTCAAATTCATTTGAGGAAAAAAGTTTCTGAATCACCAATTAATGCGCTGCCCTAGTGAAAGTAAAAATTACCATATTTTATTTGCTCTCATCAAAATTATAACCTATAAATATGTTAAGCTACTTCTTCTACGATGAATATTTACCCATTGGAATCTAAATGATCTGAAGATATAATTTTTTTCTTCGAAGTTGTTACATATTTAACCTCCCCAGCCCTCCAAAGTTTTGGAAACCATTATTTAGCTAATGCGCTCTCACCTTTCAGATATTGAATTTCTCAAATACATTTTTGTTAAGGCTTTGATAGTGCCATTGAAGAACATCTCCCAGGTACAACCTACCAGCTTTGATATCGATGTCTTGTATCAAAATTTTCTAAAACTTCTCTTGGGGCATGATAAAGTGAGCAATCAAACTAATCCAGGAGAATAAATATCAGCCCACATACAAAAATATGATTAAAAAATAACAATACCACTATATACGAAGACAATAACATGATTTACGTTGTTCAGGCATGGTGTCATATATGAATCTACAATGAAATATGTGAACGAGTAAAAATTGAGAAGACTTGCAAAATAGATGTGCCATATTGGATTTTAACTCTATTTTGGCAGTTTTTTGGCACAATTTTTACGCACATTATTTTTCTCATCTATTTGCAGTTTCTGAAATTTTACATCCTACTTTTCTGAGAGAGTTTGTCACCCCAGGTTTACAGAAGATAAGAGTAGATTTTAGATGAGACACCACCCAAAGATGTCGCTCTTATTTTGTGAAGATTTTATGATATGGTTTCAAATTTATCATAAGCGCAAGCTGTTATGATTCATTATATCGCCCGAGGGTGAGAGATAACTTTTGATTAAAGCTAATTGTTATGTACTAAATGCTTAGAGTATAGTAGCAACAATTTTAATTTTAGATTATGAAAATTCACTGCTTTTAACTTAGTGCGGATCAACTCTCATACAAATTATGATTTCTTGTGCAGACTGTTGCCTGGATTGTTGCTGCGTTATTGATAGCCATTAATGGCTACCTTTTGGCTGATTATTGCTCTAGTGAAATGCAAGGACTTCTTCTCAGCTCCATTATTTGTGCATTCTTAGCGCTGTATTTGGCTTTTGTTTTATATCTCCTCGTGCGTGATGGTTCTCTATCAGTTTTCCGAAATAAATCAACAAATCGTAACCGCTGAAAGCTGCATCCAACCATTGAGATTGTGATTTCATTTACGTGTATTGTTAGCCAAAGAAGCCTAATAATAATATTCTCTCAAGCATATATTATCAAGGCCTTGTCCAAGCAGCAGCTTTTAATTTCTCTAATTGGCCCTGTATCTGGTTGATGAAATTCAGACAAGAGACGGTTATTTGAAGAGAACAAAGAACTTAACAGCAATGTTGAGGTATTTCTTATGCTTCACATACACGCACACACACGTGCTCGTGCGCTTGTGTGCGCACATACGCAGACATGGATGGATGATTACATGCATGCATATATGTATCAGGTTTGCACCACATTCAAGCTTAAGCAATTTAAAATTTTAAAGTGCAATTGTAGTTTTATGCTTAATGATTTTTATGGATTTGCACCACATACAAGTTTAGGCAATTTACATGCACAATTGCATTTTTATGTCTAATGATTTTTTATTTTTGTGGTTCGATTAAAAAGTTGCATGCAATTTTTGCAGATTATACTCATCTTCTCTTGATGTAGGGATGAGGTTAATGAAGGAGGAGAATAATAATCAGCTTGCTTTGATGAAGGAGCTTATGCTTGGATTATTTATTTATTTATTTATTTTGATATAATGGGAATTTGAAATTAGTGTAGTGAAATTATATCTGAGTCATACAAATGTGGCAAAATTTGTAATTACTGAAAATAATAATAATAATAATATTTTTGAATATTGATTTTTTTATGAATCACACTCAATGAATAAAACGTTAAAAGAAGAGATAAAAAGAGTGAATAATAATAAATAGTAACCCGTCATAACAATCATGTCTTATTCATAAAATGATCTGCCAACTTTTTTGAGAAAATGATACAATATTATGATGTTATATTTTTGCCTCTGTTTTACTCATGTCTTATTCATAAAATGATTTGCCTACTTTTTTGAGAAGATGATACAATATTATGATGTTATATTTTTGCCACTGTTTTAAATGGGTATGTAGTGAGTTTTTTGATATTTTACATGAGTAAGCCGGTTGTTTGGCTTGGCTTAATTGACTTCAAGACTGCAATATCCGCTCGATCGGATGAGTTTGGTCGATATGGGTCAGCCTGTCGATATCGCCCGACTATTAGTCCTTTACCTCTAGATGAGCCTTTTGGTGTCCTTGGAATATTGGAGATACTAGAAAGATAATATCTCATGTTGGCATTTCTGTGGTGGTTGACTCAGATATCCTTTCGTCTCGTCTTTAACTGAGTGACATGTTCTTGTATGCTTTGGTTGTCTCTGGTCTGTCTTATGTTTTAATCAGGTTTGACATTGTTGACTTGGCTTGGACAGTTTCACTTGGTTTGATAAGTAGGCCTCAAGATTTTTTATTGGCGGGCCCACCTTTATTGTACTCTTTCATTTTGGACCATTAGATTTCTTCAAGATTAGTTAGTGCTGATATATATTTTATAAAATTATCATCCTATTGTATTTTACTACCTTGATAATTTCAAGTTTTCCTCTTGGTACTTGACAAAATTATGAATGTGAAATTGATAAATAGTTATATTAGAATAATTAGTGGAGCATTTTTCTTATTCAAGGAAAGGATTGAAATGCATTTTAATAAATTGTAAATAAATAAGCCTCAAGAGTTAGTTAGAACAAAGCATTGATAAAGGATAATATTGATAGAAATCATTCAAAATAAATTATGAATGTTACACTCAATTTCCTAAATAACACTATAAGAATACATAAAAATGAGGATTTTCAATGTTAAACTCAATGTTTGGGATGTCCTAATGTTGATAATGGTAGCCAACGGTTGAATTTTACATTTGATGTGTTATTCGTATGGTAAGCCAAGGGCACATGGTACTTTCTCCCCATATAATATCCATTTAATATACTTTGATTTCTTCTCATTCCCTTCTTCAAGCCTAAGATAACACTTCATTGATTAAAAGATTGCCCTTGATAAAAATAAATAAATAAATAAGAGATTTTAAAACTTTGTCACTAGATTAAATTAATTAGATCGCATAATATTCAGTAGCTATAGAATATCAAAGCGGTAAAAAAATTTTTAGGGTTAGGACTATCAAAAGAAGTTCGTTGTTCGTGAACATTTACGTATTTGGATCTTTAGGTAGCTTATATTCGATTGTTTTGTTAAGTAAGGGTGTTGAACTCGAATGATTTTTTGTGCTCGATTTATAAATGCTGAACACGAACTATGATTTGCTTGTTCATTCTTGATCGGGTCATTTTGACCCGAAATAATAAAATGATAATTTTTGTTTATATATTTTTTATATTAAATTTTTATGTTGTATTAAAAAAAAATACACATAAGAGATCGGGATGGTATAAACATTTAAAAAAATACTCATTTTGGTGGGGCATTTACACAAATACTAGTGAATTCCTATCCATTTTTCATTTACTGCTTGGTCCCACATCTTTATGAGAGGTTTTCTTACAACTTGAAAGGTGTTTATAAGCAGGAAAATCTTTCATTAGAGCACTATAATGGTGTGGCCTCTTTGAAAGTTCTAGTTATCGAGCTCTAATTCGAGTTGAACATGAGCTTAATTCGAACATTCAAGCTTGAATTTAGATGAACATAAATAGACTATTCACGAGTTATTTTAAACACGAGCCACGAACAAAAAGAAAAAAAGCCAAAAATCAACAAACCTTGACTTGGGCTCTCTTAAGCCGCCCTTATTGAGGGCATTGAATTTGGAGATAATTAGTTAATATTAAAACTGTGAACTATTTCAAATGATATATACCATGGACATATCAACCAGGCAAATAAATTAATCTAATCAGTTAGTAAGCTTAAACCTATAATAATAATAGATATAATTTTTTTTAAAATTTTTTATTTCGTAAGAAAAAAATAGTCAGTATTTTGGACTAATAAGTCCTGGATAAATTTGCAAAATTTATTAAGTTATGAAATTATATTTAGGAAGATTTAGGTACATACCACTCAATTCCTATATATTTAGATATCTAACACATAAACTTCAAACATGAAAAAATATATTTCACATTTTAAAAGCCAAAATAATAAAATATTTTATTTGATATGAAAGGCTTGGGTGTCATAAATATAAAAGGAATGATTTGGGTGTTAGAAATGTAAATACATATAATTTGGTTCTATATATGCATATGTCCCTTAAATTTATCTTTAAATTAAATTTATATTTTAATTATCGAATAAGATTTGGCTATAAATAGAGTGTTGCGTCGTTTCCTCGCGAGTCTAGCTTACATTTTTCTGACTTGGTGGTCTGCCGGGCCGGCTCCTTCCTGCAGCGGCAAGATCGAAGCTTCTTAACCGAAGGAGGTCTGTGCTCTCCAAGGCACAGCGACACCGGAGCGGAGATTACGGGTCCTCTCGCTTTCTTTCTCCTCCGGCGGCGAACATGGATGGCTTCTCTCTCTTCATCTTCTCCATCCTTCTATTCGGAGCTTGTGAGATGGTTAAGTGCTCCGAAATACCACCGTGGGCTTTCAGAGGAGGGAGCTCCTCGGCGCCTATTGTGCTGCCACTCGCTCTCTCCTCCTCCAATCACACGCTCCGATCTGCCGAGGAGAGCCACCTACGAAGGCGGGGGCTTCGAGACGGAGACCGCTCGACCCACAATGCCCGTATGCCGCTCTTCGATGATCTACTCACCAACGGGTATATATTTTCCTGGTTTCTTTATCTGGATCCGGCGAAGAGGCTTTTGCTTCTGCGTTTGTGGTTTGTTCTAATGTTTTGCTGATTTGTATTTAGGTATTATACCACTCGGCTCTACATTGGGACACCACCACAGGAGTTCGCGCTGATTGTGGATTCAGGGAGTACGGTCACTTACGTTCCGTGCTCTACATGCGTGCAGTGCGGAAATCACCAGGTAATGCTCAATTTTTTTTGTTTTAAATTCACTTCATTTGTGGTTTTTTATTTTTATTTTTTATGATTAGACAAGGGCGGCCTTATTTTACTAAGCAAACGTATTCCTTATATCTTTGCCCAAGATCCTATAGTTTATATCTCAGAGCCCTCAGAACTTTAAATTTATTATAGAATAGTTTTTTGTGTTCTACAGTTGTTGTATTGCCATTAATGAGTTCCTTTTTGAAACTAACACTGAATACTGAGGTTCTTTCATATCTGTTTTTATTTCCTAGTTTAGTTTTGTGTACCGTCCTGGCGTTTGCAGAACGTGAATTAGCTTGGGGAGAGAAATAATGGATGTTTGCTATCAAATAATTTTATTTCTTATAAAAAAATATTCATGCTTTTGATAATTTCGTAAGCTGGAGTTACAAAAAAATAAATAAATAAATAATAAGAAATTAATAAGGAATTACTTTGACCAATTTGAACTCAGGTTATTTTGGCTTGTGGCAAAATCAATGAATGTTAAAAAAAAAAAAAAAAAAAAAAACTAATGCCGATGTAGCCAACCTTAAGCGAGAGTGCTCTCCTGTGAACATGATTAGTAATTAATTATGAGGTCTTGCCCTCATAAGAAGTTTAGACCCTAGATTTAAATATACTCTGATAAAACTATCAAATAAAGTTTGATTAAATCAAATTTAATTTATCTCATGAAGAGCGTACTCCTAATATAAAAATTAGGATTTATTATTTTATTCAAGAACAAATTTCTAGCAACTTCACTAGTGAATACTTCTCTCTCCATCTATGGATAATTAACTTGAGGCTCTAAGTGCCTACACTCAATAAAATTTCAAATTTAGTTCTGGTTAAATTCTTAATATTGATGATCGTCATATGATTCCATTTGCTCAATGTGCATTCATATTGATATTGAGCTTACCTATTGTCACAATAGTCTATGGTCTAATACCTTCTGTTAACCCTAACTTTTGTTAGTTTCATAATAGGTACTATGAACATTTCTTTAGACATGGCATCGACAAATAACTTTATGATCGTCAAGTTTGGGGAATGATCAATGGTATAGTTCCTCTAAGCCACCATCAATCTTGGTCCTGCTAGATCTACTCTCCAATTTGGGAAAATTTCAAATATCGTGAGGTTCATCAATGTCAATCAAACAATTGAACTTGTATTGGTCATGAGGGCCACTACTAAATGATCCATTGTGCTAATGGCACGGGCTCATCTCCTTACTAAGGGGAGAGAGAGCTAATGTGGTTATCCCTAATCAGGAGGCATCAATTCGTTTAGACTCTCAAGATTGTTTCTACTATTGTGTTTCCCAAGTAGGTTTATTTTTTCCGGACTTCCAAAAGCCCTGATTGCTAAAAGAAAGGCTTTATGGGACTTATGTTCAATCCACTATTATTAACCATAACTATCAATCCCATGATTGATACGACCAGACTCATGTGACTATTTATTTCTCCTTTGAGGCATAATGTTGAAGCTTGTTCGTCTACTATTAAAATGTCAAATAGGGCTAGAAGAAAAGCTAATATTTGCTTTCGGGCGAAAAATTTAAATTTGGCCTATTAACAATAGAGGAGTTGTCTTAGATGGGACAATATTCCTCCAACAAATTTTTTTGAGTCGTTGCATTTGGTGAAGAGAAATGGTTCAAGGCGGGGAGATAAAAAAGTCTTTCTAGGATGCTCCTTTACAATCGACTCAAGGAGCTCTCTGAAGGAAAGAAAATTAATCTCCTCCCATATGTATAAAGTATTAAAGGTTGTAAAAAATATGGGTCTTGAATGAAGTAGACCGAAGAAACTAGTGGTTGAAGCCACTAACCTGACCATGATTCATTCCTAGGGGAACAAGACTTCAACAAAAATGCTTAGTGAGGATCGTAGTTTTCATTATCATGACTCAAAAAAACTTTACCTCGTAAAACATTTGAATCATAAGAAGAAGTTTCTAGGTAAACATTAGAGCAACATTTATTGGTAAAATGCATTAAAATATACCGGAGATATGACTATAGAATTTTCTGACAATCTTACCAAACGCCAAGGTCTCATGAAACACGTTTTTGTTTACATGGCTAACATTGGGGTTTGTCATTTGGTTCATATATTTTTAGATCTATTGGTTGAAGATCTCGACAAATTTAGGCTTCAAAGGATCCCAGATTTTCAAGGTCATCTAAATACTTTCATGAGGTCGAGCATGACAATTAACTATCATGTGATGATCATTTTGTAGCAGAAGGTCCCCATGTGTTACTGGACAACAATAGCCAAGAAAAGGCTAATGCTTTTAAGGAATCTGCTAACTCCATAATTCATGGGAATGGTAGTCCAATTATGAAGAAGGTTGTGGATTGGTTACATAATGAAATATTCTAGGGGGAAGAAAATTCTTCCCATAATGATGATTGCTATGAAAATGCTAATGATAAATAAGACATTAATCACATGATGATCAACATTGTGTGCATGTTTGACCATACACCCAATCAACTTCTTTAATGGTTTGCGCCAATTCAAAAGATAGCATGTGGTCTTGAATTCATAGGTTGAAGGGCAGTCCTAAGATAATTAAATTCAAGGGTTTGAAAAATCACCTTCTAAGCCAAAGTGATTTTTGTTGTTGTAATAAGATTATAACGACATAATTAGATGTTTGACTTGATGAATTGAGCGGCTTGATGAAAGAGATATATGGTTAGCTCGGCATAATAATAGATGCTAGATGTCAACAAATATTTAATTTGTTGGGAAATTACTCAGTCTCTATCAATCTTACATATGAAACCAGGGTTTTAAAAATTGAAACAAAACAACCAGATGTATTGATTTGACTGTGAATCGGTCATAAGGTCGGTTTGATTTGTCTTAAAACATATTTTCACAACAAACTAGCAAAAACTAATCTGAACTACCAATTCGACCAAAGAATTGGAAAATCAATCACAATTATATTGAACTAGTCGGTCCAAGCATTACCTTTTTAATTAACTTCCATCTTAATCCAATGGAAAAAAAAATTCCTTTAAAAAATAATTAAGTTATATTAAGGTGTAACCATCAATAAAAAACCTCAAACCTCACAAACATAAGCCTAGTCCGGCTAATTTATATCATGCCCATGCCCACCAACCCTATGTCTTATGAGCTCATGCTGATAAGCTGTTCTTTTTTTCACATAAACCGTGCAATACTAATTATTTCTTGTGACATGAGATTAAAAAAAAAAGGGAGTATGCTGATATTAGAATCGAGTTGCGGGAATGAGGAGTTGGACTATTAGTTTTGAGAAGATTGATGGGTTGTGGGAATATAGTAATAACTTTTTTATTTTTAATTTTTTTAATATTAATAAGTTTATATTCTTATTTTAATAATTATTATAATATATATATATGTATATATATATGTATATATATATATATATATATATTTATAATGGTCATACAATTATATCTTAACAAGCTTTATATCAAACATATTTACAATTATTGAAGATAAAATGTAGCAATTGATATTATTTTAACTATGATTTTAGACAAGTTTTACATTACTATTATAAGATTAAGAATTATATTTTTGTATTCCATAGGAGGTATAATTCACCTCGGCCAGATTTTGTACAGAAAGGACTTGAATTCATACAGTTTACAAGGCCTCACGTCAGAATGCTTTTATTTCTCTCCTACATATGATGGGAAGGTTTCTTGAAATTACCATATGTTACTATTTGCGAAGTAGTGGATTGCTGTCCCAGTATATTGTATTTCTATTACCGAATTGTACTACGCCAATAGTCTAACTACTATTTTGCTCTTTGCATATTAATTACAGCAGCACACTTTCTGTTTGTAATTGCTGAATTTTCGTATAAATCCCTCAACCTCTTGGGTGTGAAAAAGATTAATTTTAATTAACTAATTTTTTTTCTCCTCTCCCTTCCTACATTTCAACAAAGGCATTTAAGGAATTTGGCATCATGCCATATTGCATAATCCATTAGTCATGAGTTCAACTCACGTGAAAGTATTGGCAGGCAACTTATAATTCAAAATAACAAATTTGAATATGTTTAATATATAAATAGGGGATATATAGAATTCAAACTATGTGATAAGATAATGGCCTGTCTAAACCTGAAAATGTTTTATGGTAGGACTTCTTAAAATATTAGCTGTAGAAATTTCCCCCTTTTTGGGGTCTTCTGATTTTATCATCTTTAAAAGATCAGAATTTTTCTTTCTGGGTTGCGATCGAGTAATACACAATGTATAGTATTTACTGCTTCTTTTATTGTCAAATAGATTTTTTTTGGCTTCTGATTTGGAGTCCTTGATGATAGCGCTCTGTTTTTAAAAGATGTTGCCTTCTGATTTCACTGTTTCTTTTATTCACTGTGGCCTGTTTTATTTTATTTTTTTTTTTGTATATGTTGGTTTTGGTCAATTTCACTATATTTAGGCATTTAAAAATTTTTAAATGGATTTATTCAATACCTTGTTTTGATTTTTATCCAGGACCCGAGGTTTCGGCCAGAGCATTCAAGCACATATGAGCCAGTCAAATGCAATATTGATTGCACTTGTGATAAAAAGAAAATGCAGTGTACTTATGAAAGACAGTATGCTGAAATGAGTTCCAGCAGTGGGCTGCTTGCTCAAGAAATCATATCATTTGGCAAAGAAAGTGAGCTTTTGCCACAACGAGCCATTTTTGGATGTGAAAATTCTGAATCTGGTGATTTGTTCAATCAGAATGCTGATGGTATTATGGGATTAGGGCGTGGTCAGTTAAGTATCATTGATCAACTTGTTAAAAAGGGTGCAATTAGTGACTCATTTTCGTTATGTTATGGTGGTATGGATGTTGGGGGTGGCGCAATGGTTCTTGGTGGAATACCTCCTCCTCCCGGCATGGTATTCTCCCATTCAGATCCTGCTCGCAGGTACGTAAAGTCAGTTATTTCTAAGAAGAAAACAGTATAAATACTTACTTTGTAGATACAATTGATACGTCTCCCACATTTACTCTAGTTTCGGGATGGCAACAGCCCCTATTACAATATTGAGCTCAAGGAAATACATGTGGGTGGGGAGTCTTTGCGCTTAAATCCTAGGGTCTTTGATAGCAAGCATGGTACTGTCTTGGACAGCGGGACAACATATGCATACCTACCACAGGAAGCCTTCAGAGCCTTCAAGGATGTGGTAAGTTCTGTGTTTTACATGAACATATCTCCACGTGATATTGTCCATAGATTTAAACTTTAAATACTAACGGTACATTCTTTTTGAATTTAAGTAGTTTTGGACATGGGCTATTTAGCAATCATATTTCTCCGGTTTCGATACAATTGTGCAGAGATAGAAATTTTTTTCTCAGATTTTAACAGATTATTGAGAATTTTTTCTTGGAATAAGCAGCTGTTTGACACTTTTTTCCTTGGCGAAGAAGGATTTGCTAGTGATGCTTGCATCCTCTGCTACAATGCATGCTATTGCTATTTAGGCGAGTAATGTGAGCGGGATGCATGTGGAACATTAGTAAGCGATAGCAATCCCAGATTTTAGAGCCCCCCAAATGATGCCTAATATGTAGAACTGCAAATGATGAGCATCTGTCTGCACGTACTTAATTCGGCTTGAATTTAATTGGAGCTTTAAAGTTGTTGTTTGAACTCGAGCTTATTTAAAAATATGATATTCAAGCTCAGTTCATCTTGAGCTTGATTTTACCGAGCTTTAAATTGAGTTTCATGTTTAACACTAATGAGCCGACTTTGTTAAACAAATCAATTAACAATGACTTCAATTTAGAAACTTTCTTAACAAATCAAGATAATATAGAATTTTATTAAATATAACAGGAGAGTCCTAATATTTTCATTTTTTAAGATTTTTTTATTTAAAAATCTCTTAAACATAACTTGAAATACAGCCCCAACACGCAAACCGAACAATCTGCTTTCCTATGTGGGCAATGAGCTCATTCAGCAGAGCTACCTCCTTACATTTAAACACTAGCAATAACAATTCTCTCAGTGATGTGGGACAACACACACATAATAGAAAATCTGAAATAATTTGTTATTAGTTTTTGGTTAGTTGTTGGAGGTTCCGCTCAAGCTCTCTCCACTGGAATTTATTTTTATTTTTTAAATTTGGTGCTGTTAATTGATAGTTTTTAGCTAATAATATAAAAAATTTAAAAAATTTTGAAATAGATTTTAATTATACTTTTTTTAGATTAAACTAATCAGTCAATTTTTTTAGAGTGGGCAAAATTTTAAGCATTAAATAATATATTAACTAAATATTAATAAGAAATAATAATAATGAATAAAAATATTTATATACTTAGTGATTCTAGAAAAAAACACAAATAACTAGTAAGATATTATTATCAAAATTTTGAAAGGGAAATTTGAATACGTAAGAATGTGAATTGTGAGTTTTTTAATATATATATATATATATATATAAGTGGTTAAGTTGGGTATTTTTTGTTGAAGGATTGGGCAATGTCATAATTGAGGGTGGGGAAAACTTCTAAAACATAATATTTTTTATAAAGTAATAAAAAAGTAATAAAAAATGATCCAAGAGCAAAATATTTTTGTTGTGGATCGGTCTATGGTGTTCAATAATTTGCTCTTCGATAATATTTACATTCTAGCCTTGTTCAGAATTTTCTCTGCATACATTATGCATATTCTGTCAATTCAATGAATTTCCATACAATATGTTTACAAGAAAACTATCAAAACAGTCCTTAAATTTTTAGATTGGTCCATTTTTCCATTCAATTTACAAAATTGAACAGATTTTTTCCTATAGTCGACATCATAATTTTTTGGTTAGAAATTTATCAACGAAGACTATCTGAGGATATTATATTTTGAATTGTCAATTTATTTGTTAAAGTTGATATGAATTAGTGAAATTAATGCTAAAAATTTTAAAAATGTTTCATGAAATTTTTTTCTTCACCACTTCGTGTCTAAAGAAATGGAAAAGTTTTTTGGTAGGATCAATTGATCTAGATTTAATTGGTTGAAGGATTCAATTGAATGCTTGAAGTTTGGGATTAAATGGACACGCCTAAAATATCTAAGGTTCATTTTGATGATTTACTTGTTTAGTTTCATCAGTAGATATTCTTTAGAATCTTAAGCTTTTTGTAAAGATTTTCAGTTTCTCGGCCATGGCATACATTGTAGATGGATCTTCTATCTTGGTTGCAGAAAAAAATGTAAAGTATGCATAGTATACACTGATAAGATGTGTGAAGAAAGTTATTTACACGATAATTAAAAAACTTATTATACTTCTCTGTGCAACTAGCAATTTTAGTTTTTTTCAATGGACTTAATTTTTGTTCTGATATTTGTTTAAATTTCATCTACTTTGATTTCATTTTTGCAGCTGGGGAGCAAGCTTGGTTCGCTAAAAAAAGTAGATGGTCCAGATCCAACCTACAAAGATATTTGTTTTGCTGGTGCTGGAAGGTTTTGCTATAATCCAAACCTTTAAATATTTCACATATCCTTCCCTACCCCACCCCTTCAAGAATGTCAGATTTTTATGATCGTTACTATGTTTCAGAGATCCATCGAAGTCTTTCCCAGAGGTTGATATGGTATTTGGAAATGGGAAAATGCTGAAACTTGCTCCTGAAAACTACCTTTTCCGGGTAATGTGAATTTACTTGATTCGTAATCAATATCACACGGAATTGTTTGTCATGCTATTTGCTTCCGTTGCTGTTTGATCAGCTATTTTTCTTGCTCTGATGCTCTTTTTTTTTTGTCTTTTTTATTTTGCGCTGCAAAGCATTCCAAGATTGATGGGGCATATTGCTTGGGAATATTTCAGAATGGAAACGATCCAACAACACTATTAGGGGGTACGGTTACCTGGTCTTGACTCTTTATTCAATTTGTTCCCAACATGGCTTTTTGTGCTTATATCATTTTTCTCTTTCCATTGCACTGTTTTGTTTGAGTTTTGTTGTTAAGCAGCCCTTTCAGAACAGAATTATGTTTGCTGCTTTCATATTGCTACTGCTTGTGTTTTCTTTGTTTTGAGGAGTTTCTAAGGGCAAACATCATTAATGGGGCATTTAAATGCATAGCACACAATTTTTATGTATTTGCATATCTCGCACTCAAACTTTCATATTTACGCACATAGTATTCAAATTTTTAATACCACATAAAAAATAACTCTATCATCCCTTTTTAAAAGTGAAATCCACCTTTTCATGCATAGGTTTAAGACACCAAAGTGTTATGTATGTAAATATAAAAGTTTAGGTGTGTGGTATGTAAATTCATAAGAATTGTGTGCTACGTATGTAAATTTCCCTTTGATTTATGTATTGCCAATGCCATGAAGCCTGTGGCTCCGTTGTTCTTCAGAGCTGCCCCAGCTAATGTTGCATACTTTAATTTGTCATGTTTGTACTGGCAGGAATTATTGTCCGCAATACTCTTGTAACATATGATCGCCATAACCGAAGGATTGGATTTTGGAAGACCAACTGTTCTGATCTGTGGGATAGATTGAATATTGACAAAAAAGAAACAGAAAAACAGAAACCACCACCAGCACCTACGTCTAAAAACTTAACAATAGAACTTGCACCTGCTTTATCTCCTAGTGAATCAAAAGACAATTTTCTGCCAGGTAAATGACTCCTAGATAAGCCAAGCGGCATCTGATATATATATATATATTTTTTTTGTTATTCATCAAGAAGATTCATGGTTTCTATCTCTTTTAGTTGCATGTGTATGGTTATATTTTTGTTCCCTGTTTTTGTTCATCTAACTTTTACTGTGATCACTCTATTATATTATGAAGTGAATTTTATTAGTGCTACGATGTTCACGATGTTTTTACATCGTTTCTCTGAAATTATTTGTGAGACAGAACTTGATAATAGTGAAAAGTAGACAAGATTGGGTTCCGACATCAGCTGTAATTGATGCACTGCAATTTAAGTCCGATCGTGATGAAAAGTAAGCAAAGGCGGGTTGTGATGTTGCACATAAGTACCGTGTTTCAAGTTAACTTGATTGTGTGAAAATAGACCAATTGACTAGGTCTAAATCTAAGTTTAAACCTGTCAGCTGGAATTTGAGACCTTAGAACAAAAAGACAATAGAATTGGTTGACCTATGATAAAAGAATTATGCATATTGCTTATTTATTAGAAACTAAATGAAAAGGAGAGAACTAAAAGAATATTGGGAGAGATTGTAGGTTATTATATGCTAGAAATGTTAAAAATAGGAATAAAGTTAGGCTAATAATATATAAAGAGTTAAAATATTAAATTGTTGAGGTTGATAATAAAGTTGACAAGATAATTATCAACAAAGAAATTATGAATTAGTTTCGTAATTATGCACCACAAGCTGAATTAGAAGATAGTTTATAAGATCAATTTTGGGAAGAGATAGATTAATTACTGCGTAATGAGTATTATTAAAGGCGATTTAAATTTGCATAAAGGTTCAAGTGAGATGGGCGATGAGAGGATACATGGTGGTTATGCTTAAAGAGATAGACATGCAACGAAAGCTATAATTGATTTTGTAGTAGCATATAATCTTACATGATGTACATCTACTTGTAATAAATGAGAAGAATGTTTGATTTCTCACAAATTTTGAGTGACCAAATCACAAGTAGATTTCTTCGACTCTTATTTAGAAATTCTTCTCGCGAAAATTGAAAGGTGAGCTTAGGAGAAAGTTTAACTGTACAAAATATAATAATAATTATGGATATATATCTTAAGAATATAAAGAATACAAGCAAAGTCATTGTGGTCGTGAGGTAAGGTGTTGGAGTTTGAAATGTGTGAAATTATTGATCTTTCAGAATAAGTTGCTAAGAGAGTCAAATTGAAATTATTTAGTTGAGCCAAACCTAATGTGGGAAATGATGGCCCATTTTTTTAGTGTAGTGTAGAATTTTTAGGAGAGTCTAGAATTAAATCATATGTCAATATGGATACTTGGTAATAGAGTGAAATTATGAAGGCTTATTAAAGGAAAAATAGAAGATCTATTGAACTTGATAATCATAGGGAAGTTATCATAGGGAAGTTCTAAGTCTTGCAAAGATGATAGTAAAACAATAACTATTATTTTTTATATTTTATGTAATATGTTCGGCACTATGGAATGAAATAAGTGATCCGTTATTTGCATTCGAAGTAAAGATAATATGATCTTAGTTAAAGATGGCAACGATAAACAATGTGCTAGTATTTTTTTTTTGGAGAAATTAATAAACTATAAAGAAGAATTTTTCAAAAGAATATAACAAATAATATAATGAAGCAATGATTATAGATTGAGTTAATGTTAGCTCTAGAAAATAGTCTAGAAAATACTTAAAAAGTAAATGCTTTATGATGCAATGATTCTAATGCTTTATGATGCAATGATTCTCAATGATTCTTTTTTTTTTTTTGCAATGCACAAAGCTTAAAATAAAGTGGTGCTTTCAATAATTAGAGTGTTCATGGCTTGTTTATCATAGACACATATATAATATATGTATATAGTGTTCCTAATTAATGAAACTTAAATTACATTAAATATGAAATTTCAGTAAATATAATCATAGGTTTAATAGGAGTAATTTTCAACTATTCTGAAGTCAGAGAAAAAGAATCAAAGATATAAGCAATAAATTAATGAAAAATATTTAGAAATTAAGAATGCTCATGAGGTTGAATGGCTTACTAGAGAACAAGTGGCGCAGACAGCATGAAGTGAGGGAGATTGCGAAGATGAGGCATCGAGAAGTATTCTTACGAAAAACTTTTTGAGATAGAAGTAGCCATTCTCGGTAGGAAGAACCAACAAGATTCATATGAGAAAATTAGTGGACAAGCAGACGTGAAATGAAAAACCATCATGAAGCGACCAACTTCAATCAGGGAATAAAAAATTAATGAGCAGCAACTCAATAATTAGAAGAAATAGTGAGGAGAAGTAAATATTTGTTTCTAGTTATTATTACAGCTGCTGAACTGAAGCAAGCAATTTGAACCAAGATTTTTCTCTTAGCCAGAGCCAAGAGCTTAATATAAGACTTGAGATAGCAAAGTGGCAGAACAGACACACTCTGTTTTGAGCTTGCGAGGCAAATGATGTGCAAGGCCAATATTTTTCTTTTCTCTTAAAGTGTACTTTTATTAATATTGCTAGGCTTAGGGTTTCATAATGCAACTAATATTATGTGTGATATGCCTTTTTATGAAGAAAATTGGCGACTTATAGATTACATGTTGTTAGCCGTCAAATTGGAAAAGAATATTTGATATAATATAACATGTATATATATATAGTTTTGAAATGTAATTGTTTAATTTTGAAAATACGAAACTGAACCGATCTCATATAGATGATAATTTAAATAAACGAGCACAACACTATAAGTGACATACCTATCCCGAGAAATATACATATCACTTATCCGTGAGACTCGATCAAATAAACTAGAGAATTTATAACGTCCATTTTAGTCTGCGAACATTTATGTTGATTGACAAGTTCCCCTACCTAATATTAAGAATTAGATATTGTTTATATTACCTGAGTTCTTAAAGCTCTCTATAGAGGCAAGACCTTACAGTTAATTACCTCTCAAATAACTGAAGTCACTTAAGAGAACTCTCGATGATGGTCAGAGGTATCTATCTTTATAAATTCAAATTTTAGGGTTTTCAAGTTTGGACATATAAAAGTCAAGTGGGGAAAGGGACCAAATGAGATTATTTATTTCTGGAATCAAAGGAAAGAAAAATAGTGGATGTCACAGATCTGTAATGAAACATCGGTGACTTCCCAAACTATCATTTCGTTTGACTTCAATTTTGAGAAGATGTATTTAAAGTTTCATCCTGTCAGTTTTATTATTTAGGACTTATAAAGCGAGTTAAGGCTTAAATTACACAATATTGTTGTGCAAAGACATAAACGATAAAGTGAAGATTTATGTCGCGCTAGGCAGACTACCTCGAAGTCCTACGATTTATTATTTAATTCTAAGGAAAAGTTTGTTGTTGTAGATCGTCATCCTCCACTTGTTGCTTCTCCGTCTTGCTACCCACGAAGACTTGTTCCAAGCTCCAGACTGTAGCGAATCCAAGTTTGGTTTATGTTTTATATTTACAAGTATAATTATTGTTGGGTCTTAAGGGACCGGTGTACCTTCTAACATATCTTCTACTGTTCTCTATCCAAGGAGTTTAAGAAGTGCATTAAAGTAAATAATGCAATAAAAAGAACAACAAATTGCGGGAAACTTAAACAAATTGCTAGAAAGTCCGGTATAAAAAAACAGGAACGAGTAAAACAAAACACGATGCCACGTATAAAGAACCAGGAGTATGTGACTTATATGTGACATTGACAATGTTTCCAATTGTCAGGAAGATTACAGTGTAAGGTTTAAGCTTAAATCCTGGAGCATTGGATTTCACTGTAGGTTAAGTCATGACGGGAATTTCACTATTTGATTTAATTAAAAGGAAGTTATGTACCACATCTTGGTGTATCCTTATTTTTAATGTTTTAATCGACTTGTGAATTAATGTCAAGTGTCTAGTTTCGTCATTCATTTGAAAATTAAGTAGATGAACTCTCACCTAGGGTGTGCTCTTAAAGTCTAGGAAGCCTATGCTTCTAACTTGAGCTTGTAGTGATTTAATGTGTTTTGCTTTCAATTAAGTATTTTCTAATTAATCCTCAAATATCTATAAGTGTTTTTCAAATAATTAAATCAGAAATTCTCATTTTTTACTTAACCTTAATAACAAAAACAAATCAACGGAGAAGGAGGCCGACCCACTTCTAAAAAGAAATTAACAAAGCAAAGGGGCAAAACAACAAGTAAATCGGTCTAAAAGCGTTTAAATTCTTTTAAAATAATGATCAAACCAGTCACAAAAGGCGCATAAAAAAAAACCTCCAAAAATCAGTACTTAAAGTGCCCAAATCGATGTATAAAAGACCTAAAACTGTACTAAAACGAGTACACCACTCTCCCCCAAAACAGGGCCAAACCGCAGCCCAAAATCTCGCCAAAACAAGGCCAAACCACAACCCGAAACTTTGCCAAAACAGGGCCAAACCGCAACCCGAAACTTTGCCAAAACAGGGCCAAAATGCAGCCCAAAACCGTGTTTAAATCAAAACCACTGTGATTTCAAACATTCCCGGAAACAAAATCGTTCAACTACAGTCATTTCAGCCCATACATTTCAGCCCATAAAAACGGCATTTTTAAAAGCTCTAAACTGAAGCCAACTCGGCCCACCAAAACACATTTTTAAAAGTTCTAAACTGAAGCCAATTCAACCCACAAAACACATTTTTAAAAGCTCTAAATTGAAATCAATTCAGCCCGCAAAACATGTTTTTTAAATTATTCCAAATAAGTTGCCAAAATCAGTCCATGCAATTAAATTATTTGATATGTAAGAATTAAGTGGTATGGATGTAAGTGCCATTGAATGAACATCGATCAAATCACCTCCAACTCATAGTCCAAATTTTAGGCTACAGCGTAAGAGAAGATGGATGAATCCTTTGTATACTTCAAACAAACCGGCACAAATGATGTTTAAAAGCCCTCATATGAATTTAAGATTTGCATAGAATTAGAATGTATAATTTCAGATTTTCCTAAAGCTAATCCCATATAAATTTCAAGTTTCGTGTAGATAAACATACAAGAGTCAAGAGTTCAACTCTGTGAAAGAAAATCTGGAAGCTTGGACTTGGGGAAACCCGAAATCATATGCTCAAGTTTCAGGTCTTTCATACGATTCAAGGGTGTTTTTCAATAAAAATGAGAAAGCTAAAGCAAACCATTCATAAGGAGTCATTCACTTACGCCAACTACATATGAAAGTTACCTTTACCTTGCACTTGCCACATAAAAATATGAAAATAAACATTCGTATATGCGACAATGAGAAATTCTTTCACTCATGGAAACTCTGCATGAAAGTTGATTTCACTTCACACATAAAAACTATCCACCAATCGAGAAGTACCAAAACCAATTGTAGTTCCCGAACTGTACAATCGAAACATCGAACTAGTGAAGTACGTAACAATTAATGATTGTTTTCACTTTTTTGTTGCAACTATATGATTTCAGCAAGTTTCATATAAAGATTAAGGGATGCTTTCCAGCGACATTTGAACGAAATTTATGCAATGTCTCAAACAGGATTTACATCAAAATACATAAGAGAAGAAGCTCAAATATTTCACCACCAAACTTCTATGCAAATGTGACGATGAACTAAATTCCCTTACGACATTCCAACAAACACTTAGCATGTAACCTACTAATTTGACTTTTGCATGAAGGTGATAAGTCAGATTTGATACAAAACATGACATAGACAAAACAAATCAGCCAATAATCTCTATGGAGTTGATTACTTGCAAGAACAACAACAAACTTTGAATAGCTCAAGGTGAAGTGGGGCAAGAAAAACGAGCAATGAAGAAGAAGGAGAGGGCTCACCTCTTGATGTAGATCCAAAGCAAACTCAAGAAGAATACTAAGAAAAATTTTAGCAGCACTTCCCCTCTCCTTAAAATTTCAGCCAACCAGAAAACCCTCCCCAAATGGGTTTTTCATAGGCAAAGAGGGAGAGATGTTACATATACCAACTTGGAGGTGAACCGAAGCTTGAAGGCAACGGGCGGGAGTGGCGACAAAGTTGCAAAAGCATGTAGCGACAGAGTCGCAGAGGCGTGGGAGTAGGTGACGACAGAGGTAAGGCTTTTCGCAGGGCACGGGGAAGAAGCTTTAGGCAGAGTGACAGGCGTACGAGGATGGGGGAACCTCAGGCGAACCTTTGCGAGGGAGAAGAGTTCAGCTAGGGCAGCGATCGAGCCCCGCTTTCTCCCGTTTGCGAAAGGAATGTCTGTTGTGAGAGCTCTAAGGAAACTTAGATCCTTTTGAATTTCTACTCTTTCGAATGTCCCTCCTCCTCTGAGTAGCCTCCAGGTCCAGCTCAATCCTCCTAGCTCTCTCCACCAGAACAGAGTAATCATCGATTCAGGAATCAATAATTGTCTAATCACATCTCTGAGCCCAGACAATAATCGGTGACATTTTTCATTTGCATTAGGAATCAACTGAGATGCATACCTAGAGAGCATTGTGAATCTAGCTTCATACCACATAATCGAGCTATTACCCTGTATCAACCTGATAAACTTGTCCTGCATTTGCCTCTAGCGGATAGTGATACGAACTATTCTCTAAAGGTATTAACAAACTCGCCCCATTGAATCATGAGATCGGCTCTACCCCCAAATTTATTCTGCAGTTGTTCATGTCACCATCTCTTTGCTTCTTTCTTTAATGCAAATGTGGCCGGTGTAACTATTCTTTTTAGAGGACAAGACAATCTATCTAGGATCTCCATTCTCAGCAGTCAGTTTTCAACATCTACTAGATCTCTTCAAGAAAAGAGAGGTGGTCTCATATCTTGAAATAATTTCAGGTAGTTATCCACTGACCTCCTCTATTGGAACTGGTATGAGTTTGAGAGTTCTTAATTAACTGCATTATTGCAATCATCATCTCGGTAAATGCATCTGTATTCACAATAATCTATAGGGGTGGATCAATTTTTACAATATCATCTCTAGCTTCGTCCTTTTTATTTTCCATATTTTTGAAATAACATTAAAATATTATAATTAGGTACAATCCAATTTTTTATCAATATTACTTATGAATTAAAGTAATCATCTTAATGGCTCTTCTAAATCATGATCTAACCTAATTGCTCTGATACCACTATTGTCATGACACGACCTGGTGCTTAGAATTAATTAAGGTGAAAACTGCAGTTGAACGGTATTAACATTTTATTTTATTTTCCACAAAATATTTAAGAATCTTTCAATATATAAAAGAACCACTAATCAACAAAATGCAATAAAATTTAAGCTACGTTTGAGAGAGCTTTGATGTTCGGCGAAGCTCATTTAAACATGGTGTTGCGGACTGGAGGGAGGGAATTCTTCTTACAACGACGAAAAAATACTGTTTTAGCGGACTAGTGTCAGCCAACACTCACGAAATATTATTTCACCGAACATCATATCGTCGCTTACCGGATTTTCCTCCAACACGATGGAACTAGGACACTGCTCCAAATGAAGTCTTAAACATCCAGAAATATCAACATAATTTGAAGACCACACCTCAAACCAATACTAAACAGTAAATGAAGAAAATAATAAACAAAAAACTATTAACATATCATAACTAGTACCTATCAGCTGTAATTCTTCTCCTGTAAATCAAGTATTTCCTACCAGATATATCAACCTAAATTTTTTTTTCTTCTGAAGGAAAACATTAATTGCAACCGTAAGTATGATTTATTGAGTAATTATAATCAAATATACATTAAATTCTTTTGTTATGCTATGCATGAATGACAAAAAAAAAAGCATTCCTTTTTCTTAAAACTTTAAATTTATCTATTCCCATTTCACTTTAAGTAATTATCATTTTTAATCTTTTTAAAAGTCATAACAGGGTGTTGTCATACTTGAAGGTATCCTCAAAATATAACCGAAAGTATCCTAAAAAATGTGTTTGAAAACACCGTAAAATTGTACCCGGTGAGATTGGGAATACTTGAGTTTGAAAAGAGAGTTTTCTTATTTCTTATTTATTTATAGCTTGAATTCTTAATAGTGGATGAATTCCTCTTTCTATTGGTATACTGAACTACACAAATATTAATTATTTGGTGTACTTTCCTTGTTATTTACTTACTGAGTTAATCAAATACGATCCTAATGTTTTATTTTTTTGCATAAACAAGTGCTTTTTTATAGTAGCTGATATTAGACAAATCCTCCTTATCTTAGCAAGAATCGGAGAACAAATTCATGTGGTCTCTCTCTCACATTATCGTTGAGGTTGACGATGGCTCGCAATTCTGTTTTCTTATTTCAATTCAGCCTAATAAACCAACAAGCACGTGGATGGTAAGGGTTGTTCAATTATTTGAAATGTAGAAATGGTCCCATTTAGCAGAAAGAAGTGTCGGTGGCGTAGCTTACCAAAAACATAAGACAACTATGCATTGCACTTTATACCTTGAGAATAGTTTCTTGCTCCACACAATCACGCGTGGTGCTTTCTGATGTTGTCTTTAAAGAAAATGGTTCTTACACTTTTCAGTTTGCTCTGATATTAGTTGAGAGAGAGAAAGAAAGAGACCTTAACTAGGGAGATGTAGATATAGGAAGTTAAAGGAAAGAAATGTGAGAATAGCAAATGTTAAAATATTCTTAGAAAAGTACATCTAGAACCATTCAAAATTGGCATCTTCATAAAGAAAGGCATCTGATTTTTAATATATTTTGCAAACTTATAAATAATTAATTAAATATATATGAAATTAATACAATCTTTGATGTAATCATATTTTAATTATGAATTATTTATTTATAACTATGAAACTGTAAAAGTTTCCTTTAGATGCTGAAGAGTATGAAAGTTTGCCCGGTATTATAAGACAAATATAAACTACATGCACATCATACGGGTTGTCTGGCTCATTTTGAATAAAACAAACATGTTGGAAAACTATAGGAGAATATAATGGGGTGTAAATCTATGGACCCAATGAACATCTTGGTTGATTTTCCGTTACTAGATTGTATTATGAAAGAAATTAATTCCGGAAGCAAATAGAATTGTTCTCTAATGCTTGAAAAGACTTAATCAAAGCTCTGAGAGTATATATTTATGATCCAATAATTTGTTCCAATGAAGTACATTTTTTTATTTTCTGCTTTTATGTGTTTGTGTCTCTTCTCATAGTTCCCTCTCAGGTCAAATCCAAATTGGAATCATAACCTTCGATATGTACTTAAATCTGACATACTCGGCCCTACAACCTCATTGGAAGGAACTTGAAGAGCTCATTGCTCATGACCTAGATGTTATGTCATATCAGGTAAAATCCTATCTGAGTTATTATGTTAAATTCCTTGTATGTTTTTGTACTGCTACAATGTTTATTCTTACAGGTTCATTTAATGAAGCTCACAATCAAAGGGAATGGCACTCTCATAAAATTGGCTATATTTCCGGCTGACACTTCAGATTTTATTTCTAATACAACTGCTATGGTACATTCATCCCCAAGCAACTCAAGTGCATTGTGGATCTGTATCTCTCTGCCTTCTAGTTTTTTTTTTCAGAACTTGAAAGCAAATTTATGGTATCCAGGGTATAATTGCTCGCTTAACGGAACACCGGTTTCGTCTTCCTGAAACTTTTGGAAGCTATGAAGTAGTTCATTGGAATTTTGAGCCTCCATCAAGAAGGTATTTTAGCTTTTTAATATTATTGTTTGAGTCATATCTATGGCTTTGATAAAAAGTAGTTTCCGAAAGAATCTTGAAACTCTGTTCTTAGATTTGGAGAGAAGTGTCAAAATGGTCGCCTGTTTTTTTTGCAGGGGGTCATTTTAGTCTCAGAGTTCACAAAAATATCAATTTAGTCTCCAAACTCTTTTAATAAGGGCTAAAATAGTCCTTCCTTAGGTCTATTTCAACTCATATTAAAAGAGTATGGGGACTAATTTGACACTATAGATTAAGACTAAAATGATGACATGTAAATAGTGAGGGACTATTTAGGCACTTTACCCCTTGGATCCGGTTGCCCCATCCGTCATAGAAAGCAACATTTTTGTCTTTTCTTAACGGTGGCTATGTTTTTCTTTATATTTCTCTTCCTCTCAATCATCTCCATTAGCGAGTTTAAGCTTTATTTCAACACTTATCCACCAAACAAAGTGGACTATGGGTATGTTTGGGGCAGCTTGTGCTTATCCAGATAAGTCGCTTATCTGGAAACGGGGACCGCGAGGTTTGGCTTTCATTTCGCGTTTAGTGTAAAAAATCAACTGCGTTTTCAGATGAACTGCTCAAACGCAGTTTCCAAACAGTGAGGCGTCGTTTTGAAAAGCCGCCGCAATGGATAAGCTGCCCCAAATTTTGGTGGATGAGCATAATACATCATTTTCTTTATAGTTATTTATTTGATTGCGAGAACCATAATGAATGAAGTGAGAGCTATTGAAGTTTGGCATATCAATAACAGGTCATGGCGGCAACGACATTTATGGGCGGTGGGTTTGGGTATTTCAGTTGTTGTGATGCTCAGTTTCACAACCTTCTTAATTTGGTATTTGTGGAGGCATAAATCTGCTGCGTTGCAAGCTGCATACAGGCCTGTGGATGCTGCTGTTCCTGAACAGGAAATGCAGCCATTGTAAATTGAAGCCGCTTTGCTTTGTCTTGTCAGGTATAATCATTAGTAAAGTGCCAAAATAATCTGCTGAAATACTTAACCGATGGGTCATTTTAGTCGGTCTATAGAAGTGTCAGGTTTGTCTCTAGATTTTTTAATATGAGTTAAAATAGTCTCAGGGAAGACTATTTTAACTTTCATTAAGAAAATATGGGGACTAAATTAATAGCTTTTATAAATTTTGAGACTAAAGTAAACCCCTTTAAAGTTTACCATTTTGATAATTTGTCATTATATTCATCCGAAAATCCACATTTATGACTGCAAAGATCATCGCAAGTCAGCGAGGGCTCACTAGGCATGCTTTTACGTAAATACCAATATGAAAAAAAATAAAAAAAGTATTTACATATGATTAGCTGATGTTTATAGAAAGAATTGTGACAGGCTGATGTATTTCAATCACATTAAATGAAGGTCTTTTACATACTGGTGTTTGGCTATGAAAATATTGAAAAATAACAAATAATAGAAGTACAGCTGGTTGTAATTTTGTGATGATTTGGTGTAATTTTTTTTTTTTGTGAGGGTCATTTACATGTATACCAACCAATTCTTATATTTACATTTTTAGCAGCTAAACTTCGAAATTTTACATGCATGCCACAAATCCTTTAGCATCACTTTGAAAATATCACTAATATTTAGAAGTGAAATGCATCTTTTCCATACATAGCATATTACTAAATTTATTTAACATCACATTGAAAATATGAATATTTTAAAAGTGAAATACATCTTTTTCATGCATAGATTTATAACCCCAAGTGTTAGAAATGTGAATATCAAATTATAATTGTTATATATATATATATATATATATATTGTAAATTTCACCCTTTCATTGCTAATTTATTTTATGCTAAATTAATAAAGTGCACTGTGCTGCAGCGAGCCCAGAACATGGGCTCTCTGGACAGCCCACGTTTTCAGTGATCAAATGAATGCCTACGTTCACCGACAGGACGATTTTCACCGTACATTTCAATGAGATTTTTATTTGCGATTGTTATTATAATCCAAGCTACACATTCACGACATTTTTTTAAATTGTTATTGTCTGCACAAAAAATTGAGTTGTTTATGATTTGGAAAAAGGAAGGAAGCATTTTTTCGTGGTTCTAAACGAAGTTTTAACATGGGACAAAGATTGTAGTAGTTTTAAGTGATGGAAAAAGAACGTCTTTTTCTACTTAATGTAAGATGGAAAATGGTATTTTAAAGTAAAATATAATAAATAAAAAATTGACAGCTCTAGACAGTTATCATCCACCTAATAAATGACGATAATAATTTAGTTTATTAGACATGTTTTTCAATTTTCTCATTAAGAAAGTCTCAACCTTTTTAAACTTATTAATGAACCACCAAGTCAGCCGACGGTGTTGACGAAGATTGTGTTTGAGACTGCTGCATTGTATTTTTAAGGGCTTGGTAAAGTTGTATTTTACAATCTGATATGGTTAGGAGCAATAACTGTCAAAATAAATTTTTTTCAATGGTAAAATTTCAATATGCATGCAAATGCGATGGCTATACTTGTTTTTTTCTTAAAGCAAGGTAAATTATATTTCTTTGAGATAAAAATGTAAGAACGTACAATCAGAGCAAGACATGAAGCATAAAGATTAAACTCATAGCCGTTTAAATCGCATCTATCAACTTTAATATGATGTTGTCAACAATGCTTTTATTCGTTAGTACAATTGAAGCAGTGATTGGATGCAAAATTAGAGCGAGGCCCCCACTCATTATTTTCAGACACACAATTCCAATTTCTAGTTTAACTAATCAGATCTACATTCTCTCACTTAGTACCGACGAACAAAGTTGATCCAATGCATAAAGATTGTAGATCTAATAACTACTAAACCATTGTGGTCCAGTTTCTAGGTTTTCAGCATGTACTGTAAATTTAGTATCAAGTTCAAAGATCGTAGTGAATTAGCTACTTTAATTCTTCTACAAGATTCGAGAAAATTATGTGTAATCTGAAAAGTTACAAATACAATGTAAAATTTTAATGAATTTGAAGTTGATACCTTAAGTTCATTCATTTAGAATTCCGCCTGCCTCTATCACTCATTACTGCTGCCCCCATCACTCGCCGCACCTATCACCTCCCGCCTTTCATTCTCAACTGCACTTCCCCCCTGCCAACCCTCGTTGTCCACGGCAATTCATTCTCAACTGCCACGCGGCACTCTTTGCACAAATAAATATATTATTTTCAACCTACTTCAAACCAAATCAAAAAAAAAAAAAAAAAAAAAAAAAAAAAAAAAAATCCTGTGTTTCTTTTAAAAACAATATAATCATAATATTTTACAAATCTTTTTATATTAAGTTTTATTTTTATAATATCAAACGGCCCCTTAACCTTTTTGATGAGCCGCAGGTAGTATATCTAAACCAGAAGTTTCCCACTGGAACCAGTTAAGGCAATAATTATTTTTATTATTATTATAAAAGCACAAAAATGTTAAAAAAAAAAAAAAGGGTATTTACATACCACAATTCTCTTATATATCTAAGCCTAAACATTCATATCACCATCACTATTTTCTAAAAGTAAAATGTATATTTCCATGCATAAATTTCTAATACCACGTGTTATAAATACAAATATCAAACTTTAGATGCTAGACATATAAATGCATAAGAATATTAAAAAAAAATTAATTGCGGCTACAAAAGAAACAAAAAACACATATAATTGTCAAAAACCGTCACCTAACCCAAAAAAAAGGACAATTTACATATATACCCCGCGATTCTTATGTATTTACATATCTAACACCTGAACATTCACATTTACATGCAAACCACTCAACCTTTTTACATCACATCAAAAATATCACTATCATTATCTTTTTAAAAGTAAAACACAACCTTCATACATAGATTTATGAAACCACAATATTATAAGTGTAAATATCAAACTTTGGATATTAGACATGTAAATACATGAGAATTATATGGCATGTATGCAAATTTCCCAAAAAATAAAAAAAAAAAAACAAAAAACAGCTTGGATTAAATAGAAGTGCAATAATTAAACTACCATCTTTTGATATAATGCAATTGCTTTTGTCAGTTAGTAAAAAACAATAGCAAGCCCCAACGCTATTAAAAAAAAAAAAAATCTTGTCTTCTTGTTTTTAATGCTTCAGACAATCTTTTTATATAATACACCTATAACCTGAATTGACAATATCGTTGCAGTTCTTTCCTAAGGAAATTGTCAGATTCTGCCAAATAACAATCACAGAATTATTCGCTAAAACAATGCAATGATAGAGATGGCCAGAAATTTAAACCTATTGAATATAGCTTATTTTAAAAAGAAAAAAAAAATGCAAGCAACATAAAAAAATGCAAGCAACATTATTGGCTGATATCCAATAATGCCATGTTCAATTTTTAGTTTCAGACAAACGTTTCCAACCACAGTAGTTAGAGAGAAAACTATCAAAATGATCCCCTAACTCTTTGTAGTCCTGGTCATTTTAGTCCTAGAATCTATAAAAATATCAATTTAGTCACCAGACCTTTTTAATATGGATAAAATAGTCTCCCTAGAGTTTGTTTTAGCTCATATTAAAAGAGTTTATAAAGCAATTTGACACTAATATAGATTTTGGGACCCGGAGAACTATTTTGACACTTTACTCGCAGTCAAATTTACAGAGATGCAATATAACAAAATCTATCAAATACCAAGATTGATAACTAATGGAACCACATGTCATGTTGCATTCCTACAGTCCTACTTCAAGAAATTTACACTAAATCCTCAGAACATTATGATTCAAATTTAGTTATAGGTCGTTTTATAATCATCAAATTTATTTTAAGATATATAGCCAATCAATCATAACCAGCACTACAGATATGATCGATCTATTATAATTTTATGCATTTACTATATAATGTTTCATAATATCATAAATAATATCATACGTACTAGTCTTTCTTCAATTTACCCTCCTGAAAATTAATACAAGTCTTATCATCAGCTAGTCTTCTAAATCCCTATTTTTTTGTAATAATTCATAATACTTGAAAAAAAAAAATGAAAGAATCTATCGCTTGATCTTTCAGCATTCAACAGCAAATTTATTAAGGAAAATTAACATACATAGCACACAATTTGTGTGTATTTTGATATCTAACACCTCTAGTTTAATATTTACAATAATCATACCTTGGTGTCATAAACCTATGCATGAAAAAGTGTATTTCACTTTTAAAAAAATAGTGAAGATGGTATGTTTTATGCGATATTAAAGATTTGAGTGGTGCATGTAAATATGAATGTTCAGATGCTAGATATGTAAATACTAAAAAATTTTGTAGGATGTATGTAAATGCCCCAATTATTAAATTAGCAACCAATAAAATCTAATAAAACCAAGTGCAAAAGCTTATAATAAATACTAGATTCAGAAGAAACACATTATTTTCAAATAGTTTATAACCAAGTACCTCATCTTGAGTAATGGCTACCAAACAAATCATCAAATTCACATAAGATATTTCATTCTATTATTAAATAGTGCCGTTAAAATCGTTAATAAGGTCACAAAAAAATGGAAGCAGATCTTTCAAGTTCAAGAAACCTAAATCAACTCTTAAGGAAACTTAAAGATGATCTGATAGAAGGGCTTTGGCTCTTTTCTTTCATCCAAGTGATTCAATCAATAGAAAAGTGGATGATTTACATACATGTCACATAATTCCCATGTATTTACATATCCAACACCTAAAATTTGATTTTTACATTAACTTTACTTATGCATGAAAAGGCGTATTAAACTTTTAAAAGGTTAGGTATAGAGGTATTTTTTATGTGATAAAAATGATTTAAATGTTAGAAATGTAAAAATCAAAGTTAAAATCAAAGTTTAGTTGATAGGCTGACAGAATAAACACACTTGCATTAAAAGCTAGATAACTTGGTTCAACCTCCAGTGAAAGGAAAACAAAAGAACATGAACTCTAAAAAGTAAAAACACTAACAAATCTATCAGAATAAGTTAACTAATCATGCAGCTTTACAGTTACTATAGGAAGCTGTCAAATGATATAAAGAAGATGATATTCATACCAGCAGTGGCACCCTCATGCTCTATGTGGTGAGCTCCATTTCACACTGCATGCACACCAATGGGGGTTTGACACCTCATTGCCATCAACATAGGTTTTAGCCACATAAATTGTGAGCACATGAACAGATTCTGCATTATACATAAAAAACAAAAGAGGCATTTGCATACATACCACCCAATTCCCATGAATTTACATATCCAACACACACCTAAAATTTGCTTTTTATATTTCTACCACCCAAATCTTTCATATAATATCAAAAATACCAAAAATACGACCATTTTAACTTTTAAAAAGTGAAACACACCTTAGCTAGGGGGGATATGTATGTAAGAAATTGAACTATAGGTGATAAAAACATTGGAATGGAGTGGTCCGTGTTTAAATCTTCCAAAACAAAAGACACAAGATCTGATCAAGGCTACCATTTCTAGGTAGAAAACTTGAAGCATTCTTTTGCAGAGACATGCAATGCCAAGCTCTAGATAGATAGCAATCTTAGTACGGTTATGCCAACAAGTATACTGAAAGAGCCTAGAACATCCATTTACAAAATCCCAACAGCTATGGAAGAAATTTACTTAAAAAAGTGAGGATTAAGCAACCCTGAGATTTCCAGAAACCCAACACGATCTCTGCCTCCAAGTATGCTTTTCAGCTTCTCATCACATACTACGATTTTCTTGTTCTCTGGATCCTATTATTTATTAGAAAAAAAAAAAGCCAAAGTCAACAGCGTGCCATTTTGATGTTATATAAAATCATGTTGGGAGTTTCACTATGAGATGAATATCGTTCAATGAAATCAAAATAATTTTTCCATGAGGCAATGAAAATATGTTTTATAATAAAATAAGTTTAACAAGGATTGCAAAACCAAACAGAAGCACAAAATAAGCATGCAGCTACTGAAATAATTAAAAACATAGGTTATGACATATTTCAAACTGTCAACAGGAAACCAGTTCAATGGTTCATTACTCTGCAGTTCAGAAATAAATTCCCAAACCAATTACAAGCAGAAAATTTTTTTGAAAGTTGGAACTTGGAACATCTTTTATTGTTTAAACGGGACCTCATAAGGAACTCAATCTGATCGAAGTCAGGAGATATCTGGATTTTATGTTAACTGGTGAGCTATATTAGCTGACATCAACATAAAGAAATTTACATGCATGCCACCCAATTCTTATGTGTTTACATATCTAACACCTAAACTTTAATATTTGCGCATATATGCCACCATAACTGTGCATGAAAAAATGTATTCAGCTTTTTATTAAGTTAAAATTTTGATATTTTTTATAAAATATGAAAGATTTGGAGGTATAAATATAAAAATCAGAATTTAGTTGTTAGATATGTATATATATAAGAATTGAGTGAAATACATGTAAATGGCCCTTACATAAAGCTAGAGTTACCTAAGCAATTGTATGGAAGTTCAAGCTGACCAAAGAAATTTGAATAAGTTTAGCCATATGCTACCCAACATAATCAAATTAATAAAAGAGCCTAAAACACATGCAAGTTGAGCAGATATTTATGGATGGTTAAAATATAAGAGTGAGCAATAAATTTATCTAGTAAGCGGCAAGCTAAGCATACAGCATTCAAGCACTGAGTTGCTACTTGAGAAAACTTTTAATTACAGTTTAATATGAGTTAAAACAAACAACAATTTAAAAGTTGACGTCTTAATTTGATCTGTTAGTTGTTTTTATAACTTATTTTACAATGTCCTTCTAATTTTAATAAGAATCTCTAAACACATGCCTACGATATAGCTTAATTTGTATTGACATTCTTAATCCCTACAGCTCTATGCAATTCTTCTATCAGTCTATTTAATGGATGGAATCATTGCTATATTCAGTGATTTTAGCAATCTTTTCTCTATTAAGTAGGTTCTACAAACATCTGCAGCTTCTAGTCTTGTAGTTCTGACTTGTTTATCTATTTCTATGGTTCTTAGAAGTTATCCTTTTCCAACAGTGTTCCGTGGCCACCCGACTATTAACTAAACGATCTTCTAATTATTTTATTTGGCAATCATGATCTTTCCCTTGTTACCAGACTGGCAATAATTTTTTTTTCTGCTATCAAACTTACAAATCTGGGGATCAATCTTTCAGAAAGTTCTATTTTTAAAAGCAACAAGCATATGCGCTTCTTTTTTACCAGTTGTAAGCAATGGGAAGGGGAATTCCCAAAAAGCTCTGTGATCATAAATATGGTCCAGGGCTATTTAGATAAAGATTTCTGGCTGCATACATCATTATTTTATTTGTGAATCAAGTGAGAGATTTAAAGATTACCATGCAAAGCCCTATCTCCATGAACAAAATATACAAATCCAACCTCTATAAGAATCACTAGGCCAAAATATTTCCACTTCGCCATTCTTCGTTCCTGTCAAACCCACTAAAAAGTTGGAAATCAATAAAAAAGTAAATTGACCTAACCCGTGGAATCATTACAATATAAGCTACACTATTTAAATTTGATATAGATTCAATTGATTTTTTATACCACTGGATCACACAAGTCCAAATATTATTTTTCATTTCATCTTCTGGTTACCGGATACTCCATAGAACTAAATCGATATTCTTTTCCATTCTGCTACATAGAAAAGAAAATTATCTTTCAAATATGAATTTTCAATATCTTTCCTTAATCATATATTGTTTTGTTGTTATACCGATCCGATGGAACAGAGAATGAAAGTGAATAAAGAATAAAAGTGAGAATAGAGCATATGTTATTTAAATAAAATTTCTAGTTGCATACATCATTACTTTCACTTGTGCGAATAGGTGAGAGAGTTAGATATTAACGTGCAAAGCCCAATCTCCATGAACAAGTAAGAGGTTTGCTTCTAGTGATTTTTTTCCCTTCTAGATTTTTTGTTTTTTATTTTCAATATTTTGTTATTGGATTGAGAGTGATTGACTTTAATCAAATTCGATGCAATCTGAATTTTAACATGTGCATGAACATTCTAAAACCATTGCATAGTTAAGTACTTTAGTAAGACAGTCAATCACTTGCTCTTTAGTGGCTACATGACTTAGCACCAGTAGACCGTTATTCAGCTTTTCCTTGATGAAGAACCAAACAGTTCTATCATATTGCACCGGGTGGTTGGCGATGTTGATCGTTGGATTGTTGTCACACCACAACTTTATTTTAGCTCCTTGGTCCACCTTGAGCTCTACCAACAAGGCTCTCAATCACATCATCTCAACAACTACTAAGATTATGACCCTATAATCTGCCTCTGTTGTTGACCTCGCTATTACTGATTGTTTCATGTTCTTCCAAGAGACCAAGTTGCCCCCTTGAAACATGTAGTATCCAACTGTGAACTTTCTATCAACCTTACAACTTGCCCAGTCAGAGTCACAATAGCCCTCAATGCTTACATGTCCATTGTTCGTGAAGATCAACCCCTTCCTTAAGTACATCTATACTGCATCCACGTGACCCTTCCTCAAATCATGCATGTAGTAACTCACCACACTTATTGAAAATGATATGTTGGGACGAGTGCGACTCAAATAGATGAGACGCCTACCCACCTCTACTACCTCTCGTGATCAATTGACTCTCCAGGCTTGCATCCCAACATGTCTGTCTTTTTTAGCAGGGCTATCACATATTTTCTCTGAGACAGAACAACCCCTCTGCTCCGCGAGACACCTCAATTCTAAGTAAGTATCTAAGTTGTCCTAGGTCCTTCACCTTAAACTCTATGCCCAAACTTGTCATCAACAAAACAATCTCACCCTCATCATCCCCAGTGACAATCATACGTCCACATACACAGCAACAATAGTAATGTGACCATCAGATCATCCAAAGAATATTGTGTGGTCAATATTGCTTTGTTGATAACTCTTCGCCTCAAACTCTTTGCCCAAATTTGATTTCAACAGAACAATCTCTCCCTCATCATCCCAGTGACAATCATATCGTCTGCATACACAACAAGAATAGTAATGTGACCATCATATCATTGAAAGAATATTGTGTGGTCAACATTGATTGTTGATAACCAATCCCTACCATTGTTTTCTTGAACCTGTCAAACCAAGCTCGAGGAGACTGTTTCAAACCATATAATGATTTTCTCAATCAACATAGCTTGGCCACAGTTTGGTTCATGCAAGCCTAGGGTATCTCCATGTACAACTCCTCTAGTAGTCCCCATGAATAAATGCATTCTTCACATTGAGTTGATATAAACTCCATTCAGTGGCCAATCAACATAGCTTGGCCACTGTTTGGTTCATGTCGAGCCTAGGGTATCTCCATGTACACCTCCTCTAGTAGTCCCCATGAATAAATGCATTCTTCACATCCAGTTGATATAAACTCCATCCACTATTCATAGCTAGAGAGAAAAGTATCGTGATTATGCTCATCTTTGTCACTAGTGCAAATGTCTCATCGTAGTCTTTCGCTACTAACCGTGCTTTATAGCGATTAATTTTTTCCTTCTGAGGTCTTATTCACCGTAAAAACCCATTTGCACCCGATTGTTTTTTTCTCAATTGGTAGCAACGCGAGCTCCCATGTTCTATTCTCATCGAGAACACCAAGTTCCTCCAACATTGAATCCTCCTTAGCAACCTGTCAACACTTGTGTATAGAGACAGTGTCCAAAGATGCAATGAATGCTCCATAAAGGTGATCCGTTAAAGTATGAGACAAACTGAATAATATCATGTGAGAAACCAAAACAATTAGGAGAATAGAGATCAGGAGGAACTTGGAAGGATCAAACCGCATTGTTGTGAGAGATCCTCCTTGAAGTTATAAGAGTGGGAGGAGAAAAGAGAGGAATTGTATCACTAGTGTAATCAGATTTTGAGGTGGATGGTGTAGGTGTCTCAGGAGTTGGGATAGACTTGTTGGCACGAGTGGTTCGACAGACACTGTTCTCTTATTTTGTCTTTTTTCTCTTTGCATACACCCTCAACTCCCCCTTGAGCTTGAGTCCAACCACCTTCGAGCTCATTTTTCTCATTTTTCAGTTCTTCCGCGGTTGATCCTTCCCAAAAAACAGGATGAGACATCGTTCCCACTTGTATCAATCTCTCACCATCACTACTCTCCCCATCTCGTCTCATACCTCCACATCAGATGAGTCACCAAAGGGTGAGATCATCTCTAATGTGTAATATGGTTCGAACTCTCTAAAAGTCACATTCATACTTACAAACAGTCTCTTCTCTATTAAGCTCCAACAAACATAACCCTTCTGAGTGGCAGAATAACTTACAAAAATACACTTCACAACTCTGGGATCCAGCTTCCATATTGATGGTTTATTATCCTTCACGAAACATGCACAACTGAATAACCTTCAATGGGAGGATACCACATTATCTCCTTTTAACAATTCACAATGAGATCGTCACTTCAACACTCTTAAGAGCATTCTGTTGATCAATTGAGCGGCTGTCAAAACAGCTTGCCTCCACATATGTTCCAAACAAGTTTTGTTAATTTATCTTTTCATACAAAAACGGATACAAATGATTCAACAAACTAAATGAAGAGTGTCTCATGTACTTGTGATGTAGCAGTAACAAATCCTCCACACTCCTCCCGGATCCTCCTACTCCAACACTCTCCACCATGGATGTCAAGGCCGAGTTCATCTCCTCTATATCCAAGTATCGAAGT